TTCGACTGAGAGTTTGCTTTCGCAAATAGTCCTGGAAAAAACTGAGAAACTGCAGCCTGGAAGCTGGCTAAGGCCAGATCTAGGGCAGCTTCCGCCCAACAGGGGTTTATTAAGAAGCTTAACACCAAGTAACTCTCTGCTGCAGGATACCAAGATAAAGAACAATAGCTCCTTATTTGTGCCCAGCATATTTACATATAGTTTTGAAAATATCTACTTCTTACAACAATCCTGTAAGGTAGACAGAGGAACACCCATTTTCCAGAGAGGCTAAGCATCAATAGTTCTTTCCCTGTCACAAAGTTTCTGAGAGGCAGGGCCAGGACTGGAGCCCCAAACTTCGAGTCCTAACCCAGTGTTGTATGTTGCCCTCCCAGGCAGACAGGCTCTGCCTGCCTCTCAGAAGCATGCAAGTCTAAACGGGAAACACGGGCACTGATGTCAGTGTGCGGTCTCCGTGATATTCTCCGGGAGCACAAACAGGGCAGGAGAAAAGAGAGGACAGTAATGAACTTCCTCCTGGTCATACACTCAGTCCTAAGAGCAAAGTGCCTCCTTATTTGTGCCATGTATCTTCAAATGCAATGTTGCTTTTCCTGGGCTAGTGTAAAGGAAATGACACTCCATAAAAGGCAGTGATTTCCTTTCTCTTTTACGCCTCATTCCATCTCTTGGTGTCTTATAGCCCTTTTCCTCTTGCTCAGTTGTTGTTATAAATTCTAATCTCTGGATCTGTATCTATGTGTATTTTCTTGTGTCTTAGGGTGTATCTTGACATTTTATTCTCTGTAACCGTGTTTATCTGTCTTCCAATGGATCTTTTCCTGTGCTGTATCTCTCTCCATGTCTCTTTCTATCACCTCATTTCCCCCTCTTGTCCTCCTTCCTGCTTTCCGTGCCCGGATGCAGAAATGTGATGTGGTTCTAACCAAAATAACTTCTATTTCAGAATAGGGTTTCATGTGCTCTTATTGTGACTTTTCTAAGTAGATGAGGTGATGGAGACCTCCAAGTTCTCTTTCAATCCTGAAGCTCAATGTGAAGATATTTTACGTGTGGATCTTAATCATTTTTCCTATAGATGCATTTTTCCAGGTAGGAAGAAAATGCCCCTGATCACACATCACATATCTTAATGACATACATTTGAGTATTCTCACCGTATTTTACAAGCAAATATGGTGTTTTTAGTTTAAGAATAGAGAAACCAGGGAGCAGATATGGGGAGAGTACTATTTCTATCCCTTAATGGTGACAGAGGAAACCACAGAGAAATCCCACCAGAGCCCTCCAAAACTGCGAGCTTTGTAAATTCCCATTCAAGGGGTGAGACTGACTTGGTAAATGAGTCTTTTCTTGCTATCCATTAATCCAAACTGCACTTTTAGGCTCATACAAGAAGCATAATTAGAAAATCCTTAAATCCCAACATTACAACATGAAGTAGTTGAAAACACCCGGGAACTTATATATAAGTCAGGAGCCCTCGGTTCTAACATGAGCCTTGCCACTTCAGAGTGCCAAGTCAATTTAGCATTCTATACCTAAGTGTCTTCATCTATAACATGAAAATAACATGTCTACCTTACTGGGTCATTTTGAGAACCCAGTGAGATAATTAATATATGCAAAAATGCTTTGAAAAATTATACAGTTTACATAGAGATATAAAATGGTGTTACTAATTGTAGCATTGGTGTCCACACCCATATATTTATATTTGTGAGTAAATAATTAGGAACAGTGGTTATTAATCAGAAATTACCTTGTGAAAACTACTCTCTCCTTGCTTATCAAGCTTGAAGGTAGTCCATTCATTAAGCACAGTGACCTTGAAAGCAGAGAGTACTAGTTCAAAACCCAACTTGACCCAGAGCAATTTTTAAATTAAAAACTTAGGGGCCTCCCTGGTGACCTAGGGGTTAAATCTCAGCACTATCACTGCTGAGGCCTCAGTTCAATGCCTGGCTAGGGAGCTAACCCACATAGGCGCAGCAGACCTCTCCTGTCTTGCCTGCTGCTCTCCTTAGCGGTGTGTTTCAGCAGACTCGCCTGCTCGGCTCTCCACTCTGTCTCTGGTGAATCCTCTCACCCCCGCACCTCTGGCCTACACCCCAGCTTTTCTATGCCAAAAAAAGAGGAGTCTCTGGATCTCATTTTACTTACATAAATTGAGGATAAAAACTTTCTGTGAGACTCCATAATGCAATCCAAATGTTTGAAATAGTGCCAGGCACATAAGAAGTTATCAATAAACATTAGCTTAAGCAAGTATCAAGAACTTCTTGAGCACAAGTATCAAGCACTTCTTGAGTACTTGCAATGTGTCAGGCCTACCTTGGGAAACAAAATGAAAAGATCTGGTTGGGTTTCAGAAAGCTAACCTTTTAGTGGGAAAACATACATACAAGCAATGAACATGTTCACTACTCAAATGCAAAGGCAGTTTAGCAAATGAATGTATAAACCTTCTGAGAAGAGACAGGTAGATAGAAACCTTCCTAGAAGAGGGAATATTTGACTCAAGACTTTTTTTTTAATTTTTAAAAAGATTATTTATACATATAAGTGCTGGGGTACAGACCAGAGATGCAGGGGTGAGAGGATTCACCAGAGACAGAGTGGGGAGCAGAACAGGCAGACTGACTGAAATACACTGCTGAGGGGAGCAGCGGATGAGACAGGAGAGGTCTGCTGCGCCATGTGGTTTGCTCCCTGGCCAGCCGGGGATCGAACTTGCGTTGCAGAGGCTGCGGATAGCTTCATAGTGCTGTGCTTAACCCCTTGCACCACCAGGGAGGCCCTTGACTCAAGACTTTTGAAGGGTGAGTAGAAGTTTGTCTAAAAAAAGTCTTGGTATTTTGCATTTGACTTTATCATCTGCCTACAGGGGGTTGATCACTTGAAAAGTCAAGGCTCATGTTTATGCTTGTTGATTTTCTGGTGATTCAACCTAAAGATTCGGGTGACTTCATGAGCATGGTGTTGGAAACTGGTTTTGTTTGTTACTTTTTATGAAACATGAAACACCTGTTATTTTGTTCTCACCTCATACACTCCTCAAGAGCTGTACAAAAATTTCTTAGTATGGTAGAGATTGGTTCCCAATACTTAAAAATGTTAGCACCGTTGATGATCTTTTTGGGAGAAGGCAGGGAGGACTTGAAACCTCCTGTTTCTCTCCAGAATAGCTGGAGCTGGAAGTGCCCTGGATAAATGGGAATAGGGAATAGAAAAATGGCAAACATTCTTCTGGAAAGTATGGAAAAGTTACAGATAGCTGTTCTTTGTCCACACTCACATGTGAAATACAGAAAGCTTTGCATTTGCCAGATGTATCCATATCACACTGAAGTGTCATGTCACCAAGTATGTTAGCGGTACATCTAGGAGTTAGGGACCTTGCCCTAAGCAGAACTTTCAGACCTTTGTGGAGGGCGGCTTTCTGCTACCTTAATTTTGGCTAAATCTCCCCCTCTCCCAACACCTAATAGGAAGATGTGAAAAGTTGTGTTTATGTCTGTTTCTGTCTATACCAGTGACTGCCATGTTAGAAAAGTCTAATTGGCATTTAATACAAACTACCCATTACCTTATGAAAGTCATAGAATCCCAAGAATTTAGAGCTGAAAGAGGTTTAGAGAGCTTGTAATCCAGCCTCCCCTTTTCACAACTGAGGAGACCACCCAGAAAGGCTGAGCCCACCTTTTCCAGAGTCCTCTTCTGTGGTTTTTGTCAGTGTTTTGCATGAGGGTGGTTTGGAGAGATCCACAGTGCCTTTCAACTGTAGTGGCCATAAATGTATTCCCCCTCCCCCCCCCCCCCCGCATTGTTAGCTGAAGCAGATACAGATCAGAACAAAAAGTAAAAATTTTCAGTTCCAAGAGGATGAGAAACCAGTAATCCTAAAGTTACTATATTGGCCCATGTGGTTGGTGCCCAAAGAGAATGAGATCGATTCCAATCCTTTCAAGTTTTGGGCACCTGGCCCGAGAACTTTTAAGTAAGAACACGTTGTCAACAACAACAAAACAGTCACGAAGACTCTGGATAGTATCTCGACCCAGTGCCAAGAGGCAGTACCACAGAAAGTCTGCAGATTTGCTATTCCATCTCAGTATGTAGATGCAGAGGAGCTGCTGGATACTGTAACAGGATTTCATGGTTTTGGTTTTTGTGTTTTTGTGGGGTAGCCCTCTCTGGAGAACTTGCAGCAGTTAGCAGGAGTGGAAAAGCCATCCTTGGCCTACAGAAAGGCCATTTCCTTAAGACTCCTATTTGGAAGCAAGAGTAGATACGCCGGGCGGGCGGACCGCCTCGAGCCCACCCGCGCTCTCCTTCCTTCCCACAGTGGGATGCCCCCCGCATGATTCATAGGCGCGATGCCCCTGCCCAGAGGAACCGCCCATCCTGGTAGGAGGTCTTCACCCAGTGCACTTTCCTACCTGGCTGTTTCGGGGACCTCCCCCTGCCCCACCCCGGCTCCTTCGCCCGCGGCCGGGGAGGAGAGGGAGGCGGTGGGCAGGTGCGGGGCATTTCTGCCAGGTCCGGCCCGAGGAGGAGGTGTCCGCCGCGACGCAAGAGCAGCCCCGGGGGCCGCGCCCTTCCCGCCGCGGCTGCGGCTGCCTCTCGCGCGCCGCTGGTCCCCGGCGCGCTCGGCCGCTCGCGCCCCGCACCCGGCCCGGGCAGCAGGTCTCCGCCGCCTCCCACTCGCTGGCCGGGAGAACCCGGGGAAACCTCGGGGCCCCCGGGCGGCGGCCGCGAGACCCCGCCCCGCGCGGCCGCCCGCGCCTATCGCGGCCGCCCGCCTGGTCACGCGGAGAGCGGCGCTGCGGGCTCCCGGCCAGCGCCCGGCGGCTGCCCGAGTCGCGGCGGGCCGGGCGGGGGTGGAGGGCGGAGGGTGGAGGGTAGAAATAGGGGCGGCCGGGCGGGCAGCGCCAGTCTCGGAGCCGCGCGGAGCCGACCCGAGCCACGCGAGCGGCGCCGGCGGGGCGGCCGACCCTGCGCACCCATGCTGCTGACGCTGGGCTGGGGCGCGCTCTTCTTCCCCGGGCTCTTCGCGCTCTGCACCTGGGGCTGCGCCGCGCGCTGCCCGAATGGACCGACTCCGACTGCGCGATGATCAGCACCAGGTACGGGGCGAGGCCGGGCGCCGCCCGCCCCACCCGGCCGCGCGCGAGCAGCACGGCGGCCCGACCCGGCTGCGCCCGCCGCCGCGCTGCGCTGAGGGCGGAAAAGGGGGCGACAGGAAGCGAGGGGGCTGCCTCCCTGGCTCCTTGCCCCTCTCCGCCGCACTGGCCACAGCTCCCCGAAGACCCGGCGCGTCCTGTCCGGGAGGGGCCGGGGAGGAGGGTCAGGGCTGCCCACGTTGGTCAGGATGCGGAGGGGAGCTGGCCGCCCACCTTGCCAGCTGCTTTGGGGGTCGGGAGCGCGGCGGCCCCACCATTTTTCTCACCGCACTGGCAGCACAGGGAAGGTCAGGTTGAAGAGTTTGGGCTTTATGCTGCCCACAGGGCTGGATTAAACGTGATATTCTCCCTCCTTTTTCCTGCCCCACGTCAGGCTGGTCTCTTCAGTGCAGGCTGTGTTGGCCACCGGCTCTGGGATCGTCATCGTCCGCTCCTGCAGCGACGTGATCTCCGACAGGTAACAGCCACTGCCAGGTGAAAGCAGCACAAGCCACATGCTGAGCTGTTTTCGAAGTTCCCATATTTTAGTGGCACCCAGGCTCTCTCGTCCTTTATCAGTGCGCGCTGCTAGGTAGCTGATTAATGGGACGACTTAGGCGCCGTAATTAGTTCCTTCTCCTGTCCTTGCTTACCTCTTTGAGCTTCGCCAGTTTAGGAGAAAGTGAAGTGAAGAAATGCTAGGGAGTGACACAGTCTGATTTAAGATGGCATGTGAGAGGACACTGTGGTCCACTGAAACCAGTTCTTTATGAGATAGTTAAGTGCGAAAATTATCCAGAAGTGGGAGTATGGCTTTTGGTTCTTTTAAATAATCTTACCGGGGGACCGCTGGGGAACGTATAGTGGCCTGATACGTCTGGTGTGGTTTGCAGAACCTCTCTATGGAAAGAACAAATCCTCAGCCTCTTTCTTATACATGCTTCTCTTGTCTTTCCTCTGGGTCTGCTAATGGTGATGAGGTGCTTTCAGAACACTGACTTGTGTTGATACAAATCATAAAATAATAAGACGTTGTATATAGCCTTTAGGCCTGGGCAATGGTAGTGCTTTTTGTAAAACAAAAATAAAAAACACAAAAAACATTTTTCACCTGTCTTCCCTGAACCACTCTTACTTTCTCCCAAGTTGAAGAGGAGGTAGTCAAATATGCAGGCAAAGTCTAGTAGCCTTTCCAGGTCTTTTTCTCATATCAGCTCTGCAGTGTCCTCCTTTTCACCTGTTGAGATTGGAATGGGAGGGGTGCCTGAGTGGCTAGCAGATGTACTGCCTGGCTCTTACTTGGGATTAATCTTGCATCATGATTTTTGTACTTTTCTTCTTTTGCCTCTTTTTTAGAGAAAACCAGTTATTGAATTGTAGGTGCTGAGAGAAGATAGATCTAATGCTCCTGATCGCATACAACAAAGGCTAACAGCTTTTGCTTGACTGGGTTCAAGTTTTATCTTAATGGAGCATTTTCTCATCGCTGCCCCCAGTTTGTCAACTCCAGCTTGAGACCAGCCTCCTTTGCAAAAATTAAACAAACAGGGCCCCAGAGCACTTGTTCAAGCTGACATGGGGGCAAGCAACAGGCAAACACTGCACATTTCAGGAAAAGATATTTGCCGACGATTAACTTTCAGTTCTATAGCACCATTGTTGTGTTTCCCTCTCAGAAGCTGTGTGTGTTGTGCTTGAGCATGGTGGCAAACCTGAGTTTGGATTTCAGGTCCCTCCTTTTTGTGTATCTTTAGATTTTCTGTTTGCAAAATGGAAACAGACGCCACATTTCTGTGCTCTCCCCCTTTACATGGATGCACAAGGATGCTCTAAAGGTACCTAGATTGTAAAGACCTTTGGGGGTTCATATACAATTTTTTCATTATATGTGTCTTATGCCATCAATATAGAATATTCATAGAGAGGAAGAGGTATCTGTAGAGACCCTCAAATTATATGCAGAATGTGGTGTAGGGCCAAGGATTCCATCAAATTCTTAAAGAGGCCCAGATCCCTAAAGAACAACAACAACAAAATGACAGTTCTAAGCAATTTTCTCAATTCAAGCAATTCTATTCAAGGGACTTTGACACTTTTTTTTTTTTAAGATTATACATCAAGAACTGGGGTACAGGCCAGAGTTGTGGGCGGGGTGAGAGGATTCACCAGTGACAGAGTGGGGAACAGAACATGCAGATCGACTGAAATACACTCCTGAGGGGAGCAGCGGGTGAGTCAGGAGAGGTCTGCTGCGCCATGCGGGTAGCTCCCTGGCCGGGGATTGACCTCGTGCTGCAGTGGCTGTGGTGAGCTTCATAGGTTGCGTCTTATCCCCTTGCAACACCAGGGAGGCCTGACACTTTGTTTTTTAATTCTCACAATAATTTCGTCAGGGAAGGTAAGGATTATCACCTTCACTTGACAAAGCTAATTGGTGTTAAGATTATAATCCAAATCTCTTGCTATTAAGTCTTCAGAGAATTCTACCTGCCAGCCACAATTTTAGATCTTATGATATTGGTACAACGTGCAAAATATTAAATCCTCAGCTCCGCTCAAGGGGAGAGGCCAGTTATATTTCAGCTGACCTTACAGTAGGTCTTCATAGTTATTTTACTTGGAATTGCTTCAGGAAAGCAATGGAGACCATCAGATGGGCAGCAGAATAACTATAGCATCTTTTTTCCTGAATGGATCCTGGCTAATTAATCGACCTACACATATATTACACTTATATATATATATATATATTTATATACATATAAATATATATTTACTGGGTTACCTATTGCATTCTTTATTATTTTTATTTTTTTGTATGTAGAAGAACTGGAGTGTAGGCCAGAGGTACAGGGGGTGAGAAGATTCACCAGAGACAGAGTGGGGAGCAGAACAGGCAGAGTGACTGAAATATACTGCTGAGGGGAGCATCGGGTGAAACAGGAGAGGTCTGCTGTGCCATGTGGGTAGTTCCCTGGCCAGGGATTGAACTCAGGCTGCAGCGGTGATAGCACTGGGACAACCCCTATGCCACCAGGGAGGCCCCCTTTATTAATTATTTATATTGTGGTGAATGTGTAATCATTCAGGAACAGAACTTGAATAGTACCCTCTATAGAATATATTCCCAGTATTGCAGTTCAGTGGACTGGCTCCTTAAGTGGTCAGCTGAGACAAAATCAAACATACAGATTTTGAGGGCCCTGGGGATACCATTTAGAATTTCTGCAGAGCAGAGCCCTTAACAAGCACTGCAGGTGATTCTGATGTTCAGGTAGTTTGAAAACCATAAAACTAAATTTCTTCTACCTAAACATGGGTGCTCAATAAATTTTGCTGAGTCTGGCCCTTCTGGCATAGTGCATGATTTTAGTTTAGACTTTTTAAAACGTAAGTTTTTTTTATAGAATGATTATCATTTGGGAAAAAAATTATATACATTCTAGAAACTTTCCTTCTGATCTGCTCTGGGATGGGGATAAACTATCATGTCAATTCAGCAAATATTGATTCAACCTCTTTGGACAAGTAAATGGGAATACTGTCTTTTTTCCCAGCTTTTCTTCTGGTGTCTCACTGCTATAAGGTAGTCTGTGAGCTCCAGAGCGGAACTGGGGTTTAGTCACAGAATTGTAAAGAAAATGGCCAGAGTTGCTTCCCAGAAACTCCCCAGTGAAGGACTGCATGCAGATGCGAGAGTTAACTCCCAATTGTTGAGCAACTGAGTGGAGTTAAACTGGAAATATTGGATTTGGGATTTGGGACATCTTCCAAGTCAGTTTCTTGGTGGGGCTGTTGAATCATTTGTATATAATCTATATCAAAGTCAAGAATATCACAAAATGCCTCAAAATCAATTACAAATGAGCAGCTAAGCCAGTAATGGTGACAACAAGTCACTTAAACATATTTATAAGTGAATTCCTCTTTCTGCTTTTGACACTTACGAATTTGCCCTGTAATTTAGAGTTCATTCCCCTTTAGCAGTTTCAGCATCTTTATTATCAAGTACTTGGAATAAAAATAGCTGGTTAAATGCAGACTGAAGGGAATGTATTTGAGGTTGGCTTTGGGCCTTTAAAATTGATATCCATAATTATTTCATGGATTATTCATGTGCTTTCTTTCAGGCACTGGCTTGCCCGAGAATATGTCTGGTTTTTGATTCCATACATGATCTATGACTCCTATGCCATGTACCTCTGTGAATGGTACCGAACCAGAGACCAGAACCGCAGAGACCCCCTCACTACTTTTCGAAACTTCCTAAGTAAAAATCGCCTCATGATCACACACCATGCGGTCATTCTGTTTGTCCTTGTGCCAGTCACACAGGTATGACTGCTCAGGACAGCTACCGGCAGCCTTGGCCACTCGTTTCTCCTACTGAACAAGGCATCTCATCATTTCTCCCCAGGTCCATTTCCCCACCAAAAATCCACCCAATAAGGAAGAGAAATGGGAATGCAGACAGGATACTAGTCATTTCTTAGAGCCTACCAGGTGACAGGCTTTCATCTAATAGCTCAAAGCTTTCTACTCATTAAAATTTATTTGAAAGAATTAGCAATAATAATTAGATGTTAGTAGCCCTGTACCGTAGATGATGAAACTGGGCCTCTAAGTGTTTCTTTAATCACCTTCAGTGATGCTAAGTGCAGAGCTGCTTATCCATGCTATACTGCTTCCTTGAACAGATGAAAGGAGAGGCATTCCCTAAAAAGTCTCTCTCGACTGCCTTGGGACCTTAACATCTAGCACAGGGCCTGGCACATTGTTGAGCTGATCTGGCTAAGTGCGCTTGGCACGACCAAGTTAGATACCCAAAAGTAGGCTATAGAGTTCCTTCTGGCTGACATTGAAATTCAGAGAAAGCTTGGCGTGTGATGCAATCAGTCAATCTGAAGATTCAATTGTCAGAGTCCTTTTGCTATGGAAGCAGAGGAGTTAACTGGGTCTGACTCTCCCATTTAGCATCTCCCTTTCCTTCATGGTCTCCCTTTCAATAAACATAGTTAGTTTTCCTTCCAGTGGTTCCTTAACCTCCATTTCTTATTTCCCATTTTTCCTCTTTTTTATCTGCAGAAGCTTAGGGGAGAACTGGGGGACTTCTTTGTTGGCTGCATCTTCACAGCAGAACTGAGCACTCCATTTGTGTCGCTGGGCAGAGTTCTGATTCAGGCATGTATGAAGGAAATGGCAGAACTAGTACAGAGGGAGCAGACCCTGCTTTTTCTTGGTAGCTCATGGGGTTTGGAGGAATCTCTTCCAGCTATCTCTGTAAATTTTAATAGCTACTTATTCATCATTATTTTTTCTGTATGCTGTGAATGGTTACGGCCTACAATGTTGTATTTGTTATTTATCAAGTTGTGATTGTTTCATTATTGTATATGCCAAGTGATGCAAAGCTTGGTGTGACATAAAACATTTTTTAAAAGTAAAAGAGAGACCCTTACATGTCGGTTGGTCATCTGAGCCAGTGGAAATCAAATTGCACATCTGACTTAAATTTGATGCAGTATTTTATATATATTTTTCCTGGCCACAGATTTTCTCTAGTCCACTATTTCCATGCTCCTGTCAGCTGGGTGACTTCAGTCAAATCCATCATCAGTACTGGAAAAACTCTGAGTTTGATGCAGTGCTCAATCATCTTTTCTGCATGTGTCAGAGACTAGATGCAGGGTTACTGTTGTGGGACTCAGGCTAGTCACTCCCTGCAGCACCTGCCTCGTCATGACTCTGTTCTCCTTCCCTCGTCTTTTACAGCTAAAGCAGCAGCATACCCTCCTATACAAGGTGAATGGAATCATCACGTTGACCACCTTCCTTTCCTGTCGGATCCTTCTTTTCCCCTTCATGTACTGGTCTTATGGCCAACAGCAGGGACTAAACCTGTTCCAAGTGCCATTCCACATCCCCTTCTTCTGCAATGTGGCCAATGCCTTCCTCATCGCTCCCCAGATCTACTGGTTCTCCCTGCTGTGCAAGAAGGCAATGCGGCTCTTTGACAGTGCCCCGACCAAAAAGGATGGTTAATCGCTCCCAGGAGTCAGGAAGTGAGGGTGCCACCTCACATTAGCTGCCTCCTCGCTCAGTATTCTGTGGACCAAATTGTGCCCTGGGTGGTGTCAGCCCTTTGAGTACTGGTTAGCAGAAGTGTTTGAGTTTTTCTAATGAGTATTATATTACCTCCCTCTTTGAACCTGCCCCTTTTGCAAAAGCACCTTTTTCTTAGTAGCAACTATTGGATCTTGTCAGACTTCATCAGTAGCATGGTGTTTTAATACAAGGCTAAGTTTCTTTCTTTGGGATTTATCTCAAGCATGGGGTAGAAGCATGGGGTGTGGAAAAGGTGGACCTGGGTGATAAGTGTCTGGGTACCCGCCTGGTCCTATTATCAGTGGCTCCCCACCTTTCCAACCACATAGGGCAGTGTCCACATCAACTAGGCCAGCAGTGATAACTTGGTTCTTGAAATAATTTGTGATATTGGCCTGGGAAAGTCATTGTGGGTAGTTTTTATATTGTTTACTAGACAACCCATTGGTTCTTTGTCTCATCCTGGTGCCAACATTGAATTCTCATGTCAACCGATTCCAATCAGACGTCTCACTGCGGTTAAGAGGTAGGGATGGGAGCCTGAGGCACTTGAGAAAGTAGGGAGGCAAATAGGTCAGCACCTTTGCAGGCTTATTTGGTAAGACCAGTGTCAGTCTTGTGACTTTGTCACAAATAGCTTTCCTTTTTAGCATGTCCCATATCCACTTGCACAGGGTACTCTCATAAAACACTATAGGGGTAAAGTGAAATGGTGGCTCTGGTAACTATTTACTGTAACTTCACCCTTCGACACTGTCCTTTTCATGAGCTGGAAATGGACTCCTGTACTCCAAACTGTGCGATGTTGCATCTAGGCTGCCTGATAAACCAGAAAGAGTGGTCCAAATCCTGTTCCTATGTGGTTACAGCACCACTCACCACAGAAGTCTGGAAAGCAAGAGTGCAAGACAGCCCTGGCCAAAATAAATCCTGTGGACTGACTCTTTCACCCACCATTTGCAAATAGGATCCTCTGGTGCCAACACTAATTGTTCCTGATCCACTCGGATGGATTTTAGAAACTGTGCTACCATGAAGTTTTTCTCAAATAGGAGCGAAAAAGTAAAATTTAAAGTGCCTTTTAATTCATTGGACATTTAAAGTACTGAATTATATGTCTCAACTTTTGACTATTTCAGTCGTAATGGGTGCCATTTAAAACACATAAAGTGCTGTAATTTTTTTTTTTTTACTGTTTTGTTTACTATGTTTATGTTATAAATCATCCCTGTGGTGATTAAACTGCACTAAAATTTCCCCGCTTATTCTCATTTTTTTTTAAAAAATTTATTTATTTATTTGTTTGTTTGTTTATTTATACAAGCACTGGATACAGTCAGAAGCGCGGGAGGGTGAGAGAATTAACCAGAGCCAGAGCGGGGAGCAGAGCAGGCAGAAGGACCGAAGTACACTGCTGAGGCGAGCAGCGGGCGGCAGGAGAGGTCTGCGCGCCATGTGGGACCCTCCTCCGGTGGCCGGGGAGCAGCTGGGAATCGAACTGGTGCCGCAGAGGCTGCGGGCATTTTTGCAACCCAGCACTCAACCGCTGCGCCACCGGGGAGGCCCTTATTCTCATTTTTTGAGCTACAGCAAGACCAACTTCCTGTAAGGGCCATCCTGTGACCTAAACTGCCCTGGTCTGTGTTTGCATCCATGTAACCGGCAGGGGGTAGGGGTTGATATATTAATGCTTTTGGCCCCCAGGAGGGCCTAGTTCCTACCTTCCTCCTGATAAGCCAAAGCGAGTGGTCCAAATCCTGTTCCTGTGTGGGTACAGCACCACTCATCACAGAAGTCTGGAAAGCAATAGGGCAAGACAATCTGGGAGGGTGGAAACCCAACTGCAGGCCACAGAGCCAGCCCAATTTAGGTGGGGAGGGAATCTGAGTAATGCACCCTTTTGAGTGAGCGTATGGATATGAAGGTGCCGACTGGGCATATTCTATTCCCCTCCTTGCTTCCCAAACTAAACACCTCACCACCAAGTTCTCATAGTTCTGTAATACACCCTAGACACCTAAAGTTCACATCTTTATGCTGCTAGACACACCATTCCTTGCTCCCAGTCTTCAAAACCATGACAACCCACCCCAGGCAGAAGATAATTACACCCGTACTTTAATCACATCTTTGCTTACCAGGCCTTGTTTTAGCACAGCCCCTTTTGGCTCTGCAGAATGGATGAGTTAAGACTGTATGACAGAAGTCCTCAATTCAGAAGACACTCACCTTCTTGAGGTCATTAATCTATGCTCTGCCATTTAATTTTCTTGATCTAGTCTACTCCTTTTACAGTGGGACAGGTCTCTTGGGCCCACAAGTCACATTGCCAATTAGTGGGAGAATGGAGTTCTACTCCTAGAGGCTGCCCTTTTCAAGATAACCATGAAATGATTCTTGAAGAGGGGAGGGTTTAGTGCAAAGAAACATACATACCATATAATTTTCTCAGTTGGGTGACCTCACCTTTGGACATCAAATTCCAGTGGTCCAGTTAATAACCTATTCCAGCTTGGTTACTTTAAGACTAGCTGAGCCCAATTTCAGAGCATATCTAGGCCTAGACTATGGATGAAAAAGATGCAAAAGAGACAAGATGAAACTCAAGAATTTTATTATAATTTGTATGTTATAAAAACCTAAGAAACTATTTTCTTTACATGGTTGCCATATACGTTTTAGCTTGTGTACAATTTCACATAACTGAAAAGTTTCTTAGCATTAGCCCTTACAGACCCCATCACACTGAGGCCCAGCTGTTTTCTGATCTGCAAAGTCAGAAGTTGCTGATCTTCTGCAACAGAGTTTGGCGCCGCTCCTCAGGACTAATGTTCTCTGCAATGGACTTTAAGAAGCGCTGCTCATTTACCTTCTGGAGCAAGGAGCTAACAGAAAGGTTGGTCTTGCTCAGGGTTTCGTAACAGGTAAGGATTTCTAAGGCCAAAACGTAGAGTGGTTCACATACCTCTTGGTGGAGCATGGCCATGATGTGCAAAACATGGCAGAATATCTGGGTATAAAAAAACAGGCTCTCCTGGGTCAGGTCATGTTCTTGTCCTTGGGCCCTAGGGCCAACTGACTGTATCAACCTAACTGAGTCCAGGAGGTTGGTAAGACTGCTGCAAAGGAGCTTGACCACATGGCTCCAGCCATCCATAGGAAGCCAATTACAGCAACTCTGGCTGCAGAGGAACTGGAAAGCCCTCAGGAAGAGTACAGAGAGTTGTAGCTCCTGGGCAAAGGGCTTCAGGTTGAGCAGAGGAACGAACTGAATATATTCCAGGCTGTAAGGGACATGCAGGAGCTGTTTCTCTAACAGTCTCCTGGTCAACTGGTGGAGGTACTGCCACTCTTGAGGGCTACACCAAGGCATGACTTGCACTAGAACCACCAGAAAGCCCTTGCTGAACAATCTGACCTCCTCGGGGTTGCTCACATCTACTACCAAGAGGGAGAGCATCCGCTCAGAGATGCTACTGGAGATACAGCAGCACTCCATCCAGGCAAGAAGCCCCGTGCCTGGCCCATATCCAGGGTGGGCCTGGGAGGTCCACTCATCCTCAGACAGCTTACAGATCTCAAAAAGGGTGGCTGGCACCTCACATTTGAAGTGACCCTCAAAGAAGTTCTTTAGTCGTAGGCCCACAGTCCAGTCCAGCTGCTCCAACTTCCGGTGAAGCCAGGAGAGGGATTTAATCCAGGTGTCTGGGGAGAAAGTTTCGGCATTGGCTAATACAATCTCACAGAGGAGGTCCAGGATATGGATCACCAGATCCTTCCCATCCAAAGATAGGCACCGCTTCTCCTTGGGGAGTTGCCAGTATTTGCTGAATCCATCCAGGAGCTGGCACAAACTGAAGATGAGGGGGAATGGGGAGCAGGTCTGGAGCCAGTATTCCTCCAGGCACACATTTGCTTCAAGAGTCTGGATGAAGAGCTTCAGACAAAGGTCTACTTCCTCGACATCGAGCATCAAGAAGGGCAGGACAAATTCCTTTAACACCTCATCTGGCTCAAGAAGAGCAGCGACTGGAATCCCTTGGGGCTTCACAGGATTCATCAGGCAGCTCAAGAACTCCAAAAACTGCTTTTCCTCTTTGGGTGTAGTGAACTTTCTCCAGACAGTTTCTTTGAGGCACGATACCACAAAAGTGGAGGATGGATTTGGGCCCTGCTGTTCTGTGAACCTAAGGGCAGGGAAGGCAGTGAGAATCTGAGCCAGGAACTTGTGCGTGCCAAGATTGACCACAGCCATGCTGCATATCTTCTTCACCGTGATCTCAGGGCATAGTATCACCAGGCGGGCCACTGAAGCTACAGCTTTAGCCAAACCCTGCTCAGAGGCACTTTGTGCAAGCTGGTTGAAGGTTGTATTGAGGTCTTCCTGAAACCCCTCCAAGTAAGCCAACAGCTTCTCAGAGAGGCCCTTTCGTCCCCAGGAAAGCAGGACACCTGAGAGGACTTTATTTTTATCTGGCAGCGAGAGAGCTGCATAACATTCCAGGATCAAGCCGATTACTTGTTTGATGTGCGATTCGGAGATAGCTCTGTCTGTTGTGCTGACTTCCATCACTGTCTCCAGCAGCTTTAACACCAAGTTTGGCTCTTGGAAGAGAGCCTGGTTATTAACCAGGCAGGCCAGCCACTCATCTGAGAAGGCCCACTTCTTCTCAGCAGCAAAAATGTAGCACATTTCCATATGCCGATCCATCTTCTGCTCAATAATGGCCATGGCAATGGAGGCAGTGATATCCTTCTCGAAGCCCTTGTTCTTCAGTGCCCTGTTCGTTTTCCTTAGGAAGTCTCCAACACACTCTGCCAATTCCGAGACTACCTGCCTCTCCTCTTTGGACAAGTTGGTGGTATCCAGGTAGAGCTTCAAGTTCTGGCTAAAGGAAGTCAGACTCTCACACAGTCGGTAGCTGTCATAATTTGTCCCCTGGCTGCTGTTGAGCATGGCCTGCAGCTCCTCCCCCCACTCCCGCAGGAGGCTGCGCATGAACTCAAACCCGACAAAAATTGTCTCGCTCGGGAGCTTGGCCAGTGAGGTCAGGCTGACGTCCCGTTCTGCCTCCTTTACCTTCTCGACCAGCGCCTGTTGGTGATATGGGTTCTGGGTGTCCGAATTCCACACAGAGATCACTGTGGCCAGTTTGTCTAGATACACGGTTGCAGACACTTCCTGAGGGTCGTCCTCCATCAGTGCAAACACAGTCAGCATGTCAGCTAAGTTGGCTAATGCACAGCACTTCATCCCAGGGCAGAGGATTCTACTTTGGATTTGCTTCAGTCCAGTGAGCAGCATGGTCAACAAAGGCATGGTAGGACACACATCTGGGTCTGACTTAAACCTCTTTGGAGGATGGGAGAACTCATCTGAAGAAGACATGTACTTATGGGCCATTGTCCTAAACTGGGAGAGCAGGGGGTCCTGCTGATTCCCCTTATGCTTCATCATTTCCCACCAGACATTGAGGAAGAAGGCCACATCCTTTGAAGAAGTGTCAATAGTCATGTGTTCCAAAAAGTGCTCGAGCTCTGTGCGGCAGATGGTGGTGGGCAGGGCCATTAGGAGCTGGATAAAGAGTCCCGAAGCTTCCAGGGACTTGAGCAGCTCAAAAAGGACTGTGTGGTTGATGGTAGGGATCATGTTCCCTACTGAGAAGAATACATCTTCCTGCCACCGAGTTTCAGTGTCAGAAGGGGTAGCGGGGTAGGGCTGAAGAACCTTGGCCCAGATGACGATCAGAGCTTTCTTCTTCCAGGTAAAGGACTGGGAGTGTGCTGTGGCTGAGATCTCCCTCAAGGCCTCCACGATTGGCCGCCCAACATGTTCCCAGTCAGACTTTGTCAAGTTTGCCAGTGTTTTGGGGTGAAACAGCTGTTCAGCCAGCAAGAAGCCCCCGTGCAGAATAGTCATTTCTTCACAGATATTCAAGGGTCCTGCATAGAGAGAAGTTGAATAAGACACCATGTGGTGAAAAGAGGGGGAAGAAGGGATGATTCCAAAAGTCACTACAGAGCTGCAGTCAAAAGGACTTAGCTGAGGAATAAAAAGACCTGAAGCTCGTGAGCCTGGAACTAGAAAGACAATCGGTACCACCAGGAGGAGGCAACAGAGGATAGCTGGAGCACTTTGGAGGGAAAAGCACACGGTTGGTTATCTGAAGTTTGAGGTAGAACTTGAAGGTAAAGATGTCTTCCATTCACGGAAATGTGGGTTGAAACACAGGAGGAAAGTCAAGGCCTAGAAAGTGATTCAGGGAGGTTTCTGCCCGGAGGGGAAGGATCGCTACAACCTATCAAATAAATGAGACCTTGCAGGAAGAGCTGGGCAGCTGAGGCTAGGCCTCTACCCAAGGAAAGGGTTTAGAGATAAATGGCACAAGGTCAGCATCAAACCACAGGACCACCAAGTACATACTGCAGGGTATGACAACTGAGTTAAGTAACAGACTCAATAAATGCTAGTTTTCCCAAACCTTTCCATTGGTGACAAGGCAGAATCTTGTTACTATTCTTTGGCTTCACCAACTCAGAAGTAGGACAGCACATAGATCTTTCTCATGTATGTTTCCTTTAGCCCCCAAAATTAAGAGTTCAAACACTGCTCACTATTCAGTATTCCTGACTTCTCTCCTCTTTCCCGGGGTCCAGAGATGCCACTCCTTCCTCATATTCCTTCCCTACCCCAGCACATCTTTACAGGTGAGGAGCCAGCAGAGTGAATCCATGTCTTGTCCTTTAATTTGTGGGAGCAGCAAAAAAAAAGGGGGGGGCAGCAAAAAGCATTAGTACCTATGCAACTCCTGAAGGCAACTCACTTAGGCCCCCAGGAACAATAGTTCAGGGGATCTCTCTAGGGGTTCTGGCCATTTCTGGCTCAGGCTGTTTTCCCAGGATCCCCAAAAAGTGTTCCCTATGACTCTAAATTTACCAACTTGTAGTCTGGCCACAACACGTATCTTCCAGATACAGTAAGTATGGATATGTACCAGGAGAGTAAATAGCTGGCAGCATCCCAAGTGTTTTATTACTATTGGTTAACTGGTGCTTGTGACTGTCCATTCCTCATGTTTATCAAGTGCTTACTCCGTGTCAGTCACTGTGGTAGCTTATACACATGTAAGTAAGATTTCTTTGAATCTTCAACCTTCTGAGGACCGTTATTTGTTTTAGAGATGGGCGCTTTGAGACTCAGAAGCAATTTGCTCAGCATGTCACAACTACGAAGGGGTGGGGTGGGGTCAGAAATCCCCACAGCAGCAGAAATCTAAAGTCTTAAAGCTGTACCATTCCACCACCGAAAAGTTAACAGGGTACATTTCTCCAGTCTGCTTATTACCGCCAGAGGGTGCGCCTCTCCCCAGCCCTTCCTGAAAAACTTCCTTAAGTACATGTCCAAAAAGATGGGAGGCTGGGCAAGGAGTCACCGATTTATACCAGCTCCCGCTCCTGCAGACGTTGCTCTGAGGATGGCACGCGCCATCTCCGCTCCTCACAACTGCTAACCTGACGAACGCCAGCTAAACGCAAGGCGCTGCACGGGACACTGCATAAACGTGCTCAGTGCACACTCCCCACATCTCCCTAAGGTGGATACCTTATCCCCGCTTCATCGATGAGGACCTCACGAGTGTAAAACACTTGCTCAAGAATTTAGTAAGAGTTCAACAAATGAGACGGTCGGGCATCCCGGACTTCCCGGGACATCCTCAGAGCACGGGCTCTCCCGAAGCACGTGCACGAAGCCTGGCCCCGTCCGGGAAATCTAACTTCAAGTCCACCCGGCTCCTCCCGGAGGGGGCTAGAGGCGGGCCACGCCGCGGCGCGGCCCCGGCCAGAGCGCGGCCTCTCGGAGGTCACTCCCGCCCGCCCCCACCCCTCCCCGGCCCGAGTCTCCCGGAGCCCGGGTCCGCTCAGCACCGCCCCGGCTGCCGTTGACGAACGCGGCGAGGCGGGCCCGGGGCTGGGGAGCCGCAGCACGCACCTAGGTCCATGGCGGCGACGGCGGCGGCGGCGCGGACCGCCCCTCCCCGCTCGACGGCGCACGCCGCGCAGGCGCACGGCACAATGGGCGGCGCCGGGGGCGGGACAATAGGCCGCGCCGCGGGCCCCGCCCACAGTCTCAGCGCCGGCTCCGCGCGGTCCTCACCACCCAGCCCGCGGCGCCGAGGGCCCGAGTCCACAGCGCCCCCTGCCGGCCCGAAGCTTCCAACTAGCCAACAGGCGGGTAACCGCGTCTTTCCTCTCCCCGCCCCTGGCCCCGGGCGCGGCCCCCTTCTCGCGGCGCCAGGCTCGCCCGGCCACACCTCCGTCCAGTGACCCGCCCAGCCCCGCGTCCACATCCCAGTCCGTCCTACCCGTTGGTCTTGACCGGGGCGCTCATGCTCCTTCACCCAGCAACCCTCGGGGTCCCCCGCACACAGGACCCTGCTAGCGAAAGCTCCTCGTGAGGCCGCCCTCTAAGCTGCCGGGACGCGCCTCTCTGAGCGGCTTCCCGCGCCCACTGCGGAGCTCGCCGTCTCGCGCTCACCAGCCGGCACCACAACCGCCTGCGGCGCTCCTCCGTCTGAGGGCTGCAGCAACTCCTTCATTTTCCCGCAACACGGGCGCCTTTGAAATGTTAATTGGTAGTTTTCCCCAGGAACCCACAGCCAGAACTCTGGGAGATCCAGTCCAGTGGACCCAGTATGTTCTTAATAAATACACATTTTCTCGCTGAGAAAAAAAACACATAAATACTCTGGTTCTTTCCCACACATTACCTCATCTCCTTTTCTCCCATTCCCTTCTTCCCAGGCTGAAATCACCTGCCTCAAGTATTTCTAACTCTCCATCCTCTGGTTTCTGGCACCAGATACCACCTAGAAAGGACACAGGAGGCCAGCCTCAGTTACCCCAATGGGCCAAGTGGAGTTTGAGTTGGCCTGCGCTGCAGTCAAGCAGTTGAAAGGACCTGTGAGTGATCAGGAGAAACTGTTGGTTTACAGCTTCTACAAACAGGCCACCCAAGGTGACTGCCACATCCCTGCCCCACCTGCCACAGATGTGAAAGCCAAGGCCAAGTGGGAGGCGTGGAATGTGAACAAAGGGATGTCCAAACTGGATGCCATGAGGATCTATGTTGCCAAAGTGGAAGAACTGAAGAAAAAGGAAACTGGCTAAAGAGGACAGATTGAATTGTTAAACAGAATGAGGTAGCATGGCTTCTCTGGTAGGCAAAAGGGCTTCTTGAAAGACCTTGATAACTGAAACCATAGCAACCATAGCTGGGACACCAATAAATCACTTGCAACATGAGACTGGTTGATTGCCATTGGAAGATCTTTAAACTGACAATAAATGAGCCCTGGGGGGTGTCCAAATGTATAAAAAGCATCGCTCCATTAGGGATAATTCATGGAAACTGACTTTATGGTTCTGAGTTCCCAGACTTCCAATTCCCAGGGCCTGTGTAGACATTTGGCAGGTGATGGGGAAGAATCACTCTAAGACTCTTAAGATTTGGCATCAGTGAGGGTAGTTTCCAGATGCTCAGCCTCTGGAGAGAGGGAGAGATAGAAGAGGCCAAGGACCCTTATTTCTTTAGGGAGTGTGGATTATTACACTAGTAAAGCCCAACATGACAGAGGGAAAAGGGATTTATCTTTCCTCCAATAAGCTAAAACCAAGTCCTACTACCAACAGCCCCTACTGGAAAACAGGTCTAATGAATTCAGGGAGGTCAAACTTTCCATGAAGTAACTGATGAGGTACTGACAGGTCACAATATAGCAGCTGAGAAACTCTGAACACATGGTTTCAAAATCCCCTTCTCTGACTCATCTAAGACCCAGCCAAAATTTTCTTGAGTGTGCTCTCCAAGTAGAACCCTACCAGTTTCCATTGCTTATGGATGTTGGTGAGATGAAATGCATTATGTATGTATATGGGACTTGTTTTAGGAACACAACATTATCACTCGACCCATGAGAGGGCCAAAGTGCCTGAGTTTAGCTTTTCTGTAGTATCAATCATCATGGAGGCCTTGCCGCACAGTGGTGTGCTGGGATGGAGTGCTAAAATAAATCTGCTGTGGCAAGAATTTCCTAGTACTTTTTCCTCAAATATTTTTATAGATTATGGCAGCAGGTCAGCTCTAGTTTGTGAAAGATTATTAAACAGAAGCAACTGTAGACTTCAGAGGACAAAGGTAACTAAGTCTCACCAGGTGTCTCTCAACATCTTCTGTTCACATAATCATAGGAAGTTGCTATAGACTAAGTACATTATTTAAGAATGAAGAATACCCAAGACACCACAGTGACTAAAGAATGATTCCTTAGAATTATAAACCAGGCAAGAGTTACACTGTACAACAGCTGTGCTCTTTTGTTTGGCGATCATGAACACATCTGATGTTTTTAGGACCATGATTCACATTAAATGCGAATTAACACTAAAAATACTGTTAACAGTAAAAATACCTATAGTTTTACTTAGAAGCTGTAGGTATAGTCATACCAGTCTGTAAATTATAAACCTCATAAAGTAAAAATGTAGCACAATTAGCAGTGAAAAAAGCAACCGTAGGATATATATAAATATGTAATGTGCACATATTGTATATATTATATGTATTATAATTACATGCATGTATGTTATCACTTACTGGGTACACCAGACATTTGATTTCCTTTTTATACATATTGTCCCTGGTTATCCTCTCAATTCTATGAGAAGATAATATTCTCTCTTTTTTTTTTAAAGATTTATTGATGCATACAAGAGCTGGGGTACAGGCCAGAGATGCGGGGGGGGGGGGTAGGATTCACCAGAGACAGAGTGGGGAACAGAACAGGCAGACTGACTGAAACACACTGCTGAGGGGAGCAGCTGGTGAGACAGCAGTGGTCTGCTGCGCCATGTGGATTGCTCCCTGGCTGGCGGGGATCAAACTCATGCTCTAGTGGCTGTGGATAGCGTCATAGGTTGCATCTTAACCCCTTGCATCACCAGGGAGGCCAAAATTCTGGGTTTCTTAATAAAATGTTAAATGGGTGAAACCAAATGGTTTCAGCATGAAATAATAAACATTGCAACAACAACAACAAAAAAACCCGAAAGGCAATGAGATAAATAAAAGGGAGCTGATATCATGGACCAAAATGGGCCCCAGGTAGAGAAACAGCATTAACTTCCATCAAGCATACATTTCAGAGGAAAAAATTCTGGCATGTTACAAGTAGATTAAAAGGAATCTAGTATGAAAGTCATTTAGTACTTACATATAAACTATTTTAGTGTAACAAACTTAGAAGGCCACATAGTAGCAACCGAATACACTGGGAAAAGTAGTTTCTTTTCACTAGAACACTATTATAGATAAAAATCAAGAATTACTTAATAATCTACAGTCAAAATGCTCTACCCTAGCTAAGCCCCCACAATGACTTAATCTAATAGAAGATATGAGAATTAACAGTCTAAAGAGACACAAAGAAGATTGATTGTTCAAAATTCATAAAATTTTCCCACGTGCAGAAGAGGAACATACGTAACTTTGCAATATGATTGCTCTGCAATATGATTGCTTCCTTTGACAAATTTAAAGTGAATGAAAGTGCTATAGAGTTGACAAGAATTTTTCCTCTCACTGAAGGTAAGCTCACCTTTAAGATGAGCTGAAACGCATCATGAAATTTCCTATGCTACCCCGTCAGCAAAAGAGAATAGCAGACTCTGATTTACAAGTAATTTTATAGATGTTATTCCAAAATTGGTATCCTGAGTTAATCCTTTCTAATATTAGTTTCTTCCCTAAAATGTGAACTTGGTCACCACTTTAAATAATGACTCTTACATACTGGTAAAACAGCCTGAATTCAAAAAATTATTACGGGATACACTTAATTCTGTTTCCAGTAGATTAAAATGTATTTGTTCTCTAGAACCAAATAGAAAACTAAAAGAAAACATTAAAAAATACTTTTCCTCTCAGATTGGAATGTTTCCTTTCTTTCTAATTCTTTTTTTTTTAAAGATTTATTTATTTATATAAGCACTGGGTACAGTCAGAAGCGCGGGAGGGTGAGAGAGTTCACCAGAGTCAGAACAAAGAGCAGAGCAGGCAGACTCACGAAGTACACTGCTGAGGGGAGCAGCGGGTGGCAGGAGAGGTCTGCGCGCCATGTGGGACCCTCACACGGTGGCCGGGGATTGAACTGGTGGTGCAGAGGCTGCGGGCAGTTTCGCAACCCAGTGCTCAACTGCTGCGCCACCGGGGAGGCCCTCTAATTCATTTTTAAGAAATCTAACAATCTCTTCTTGTGAAGATTAAAAATATAAAACTAGTTGTTTCTGTAACACAGAGCCTTTTGTCTGTTTTCTCTGGCTACACATTTTAAATCAAGGAATGTGGGGTTTACTGAATCTTTTGGTTTAAAACCAAAAGTTACTTAAAAAATTTTAAATGTCAAGATCTATCAGAGTAAGATATTAGAACAGCATATTACCATCAGGTATTCCATATTACCATCAGCATATCCCATCAGGCAACTGATTTGGGTTTATTTGAACATCTCTAAAAGAGTCTACATGCTTATCAAAATTCCCTCGTCCCCAACCAAAGGTAATGTCCATCTGGCCCCAGGCTGGAAAATAATTTGTTACTACTTTAAAATATATCAGAGCTTTCAATAATTAAAATACATAAATCTTCATCACTCCAACATCCTTGTCTATATAGGAAACAACCGAGTGTGAGAGTATATAACATGAATGGACATATCAGGTCTCACAGGGGCTAAACAGGAATCCCAAATACTTGTCCCACATGTCATTGTCTTCAGTTAACCCGAAGCCTTTAGTTTATTGTGTTTAGCAAACCACTCGTCGCTTTTATCTGCCGCCATTGCCTATAAATAGAAATGGAATATACATTTAAGATCATAAAAAGAAAGTACTATATCATACTGCACTGTCCACAATCAAGAAATTAACATTTAAAGTGTGTTTAGGCACAGCAGACCTCTCCTGACTCTCCTTAGCAGTGCTGCTCCCCTTAGCAGTGTATTTCAATCGATCTGTCTGTTCTGCCCCCCACTCTGTCTCTGGTGAATCCTCTCACCCCCCATACCTCTGGCCTGTACCCCAGTTCTTGTATGTATAAATAAATCTTTAAAAAAATAAAAATAAAAAATGAAGCGTGTTTATTCAGCAGAGTTATGTTTAATTTGACAGAGGAAGCCTGTAAGTATTGAGCAGTAATAGCTTGTGGATTCTCTTTCCATAATTAAGGGCAAAGTCTGTGGCTAGTAAGTATGGCTGATTAACTGACAAGAGAACAAGGACCAAGTACAGCAGCCCATGGAGTCTTAGGTAAAACAGGAAGTGTAGCACCTGTAGGCTTTTAAGAATCTTTAGACAGATAGACAGGCTCTTTAGTGCTCATGAGACAGTCTTATGATGAGACCAAATGTGAACTGAGATTGGTGGAATGATTCCCTTTTTCTTTGCCTCCTCCCACACCATTCCACTGCTGTATTATTTGGTTAGTATGGGGACTCTTAATTAGAAAGGAAACCATGTTAATAACTATATTTTTGTCTGACCAGAGTTCTTTAATCCTATCATTCTATGAGACTGAGACCATAAAGAGGGGGTTAGGTCCAGAGCTTAGGTCTCTTAAATTTTTTTGTCCAACACAACCAAGCATATGTTAAATAGCTGTTTTGTTAAGGAAATACATGTATTTATTTAGTTAAAAAGCAAGAGTAGAAATGCCCTTAAAAATGCCAGTTTCCTATTTATCCACATTAAAATGAGAGAGACCTCACACCTATTAAGACAAAAAAAACCCCCAAAACCCCACATAAATATGGGGGGGGGATTTAAAAGTGGGTTATTATGTTGGGCTCAGGTGTAAATGTGGTTGTATGTGCAGCAGAGAGACAATCTGAGGCTTTGAAGAATGAGTATACAGAATAGTTGAGAACTCAGATATGGAAACAACTATTGCGCAATGTCTGTCTCCCTCCTTGGGCAGCTGCTATAATAGAACCATGAACAAAGTGATGTCAGACTGAAATGAAAAGAGTAACTGATTAAAGACATAGCGTGAAAACACTCAACTACCTCATCAGATGTCAACAGATGTCAACATTTAAAAATGAAGAAATAGAAATACATGTTTTTTTTTTTTTAAAGATTCATTTATTTGGGCCTCCCCAGTGGCGCAGCGGTTGACTGCTGGGTTGCGAAGCAGCCTATAGCCTCTGCAGCACCGGATTGATCCCTGGCCACCGGGAGAGGGTCCCACATGGTGCGCAGACCTCTCCTGCCGCCTGCTGCTCCCCTCAGCAGTGTACTTCATCGGTCTGCCTGTTCTGTTCCCCGCTCTAGCTCTGGTGAGTTCTCTCACCCTCCCGCGCTTCTGTCTGCACCCAGTGCTTGTATAAATAAACAAATCTTTAAAAAAAAAAAAGATTCATTTATTTAAGAACCGGGGTACAGGCCAGATGCGCAGGACAGCCTCTGCAGAGCGGCGCTCAACCGCCTGTGCCACCAGGGAAGGTCCAGAAATACATGTATTTTTTACTTAGAAACAGTGAAGCTGAAACTGGCTGCCCTGGGCAGTGAGACTCAGAGATGGGCAAGATAACACTGCATTGCATTTACATAAAATCTTAATACAATTTTCTTTTAATTTTTTTAATTCTTTTTTTTTTTTTAAGATTTATTTATTTTTATACAAGAACTAGGGTACAGGCAGAGGCGTGGGAGGGTAAGAGGATTCACCAGAGACAGAGCAGGGAGCAGAACAGGCAGATGACAGAAATACACTGCTGAGGGGAGCAGCGGGCACAACAGGAGAGGTCTGCTGCGCCATGTGGGAGTCTTGCCAGCCTGGCCGGGATCAAACCCGCACTGCCGAGGCTGTGGACAGCTTCACAGCATGGCGCTCAACCACCTGCGCCACCGGGGAGGCCCAATTTTCTTTTAAATTTTGATGAAAATATAATGTATTTAAAAATCAAATCAAAACATATGCACAAAAGTGACTACGGAAAAGTGCAGGAGTTTCTGCCTTTTAAGGGACATGAAATGGCGAGGGCTTGGGGATGGGAGGTAGGAGAAAAACAAACTCTGGCGTGGAGAATCCATGGAAGCATCTGAGTTTTTTTCTTTTTCTTTTTCTTAAAGATTTATTTATACAAGCACTGGGTACAGTCAAGCGCAGGAGGATGAGAGAATCCACCAGAGCCAGAGAGGAGAGCAGAGCAGGCAGACTGACGAAGTACACTGTTGAGGGGAGCAGTGGGTGGCAGGAGAGGTCTGCACACCATGTGGGACCCTTGCCCGACGGCTGGGGATCGAACCAGTGCTGCTGAGGTTGTGGGCAGTTTCACAACCCAGCGCTCAACTGCTGCGCCACCGGGAAGGCCCAGCATCTGAGTTTTGAAGAATAAGTTGTAAAAAAGGTGAGGAAAAACACCCTTGGGTGGAGGCAAGAAGATAGTTTCCTGGGATTGGTTGGAATGGGGGTAAGTTAAGGAGGAAAGGCAGCAAAGAAGATCACAGAGTAGGAAAAGGCTAAACTCATTATACGCTCTGCCAAAGAGCTTAGAATGTACCTTGAAGGCAATACAGAACTATCGGGAGATTAAACAGTTTTTTAACTTACTGAATTTATGCTTTAGAAAGCTAATGCTGGCAGTATTGACTGGAGAATGGGAAGAGGCTTTTGCAGTCTTAGATGATTAAGGGCCTTTTTAAAAGGAAAGCAGACAGATGAGATTTCAGAATACTCAGCTCTTCATGTCTAACAGCTAATAAGGCTGAGGGATGAGAAGAAATAATAATCAAAAATGGTATAACTCTAGAACTATTCACACAAAAAGCATAGAAAGTATTAAAAACAATGGTTCTGAGAATTCTAGTTGAAATAACTGGGATAGCAGATAGACAGTGCTGTTCAGGGAGGGAGCATAGCATAGAGGATGAAAAAAAGTTTCAAAGCCTGAAAGATCTCCATTCAAGTCTTCAATATCATCAGTTATCAGGGAAATGCAAATTAAAACTATAATGAGAAACTTTTATATATACTAGAATATTTAACCTCACCCCCACGCCAACACAAATGTTGGCGAGGATGCAAAGCAGCTGCATCTCTCAGGTACATACATGGCTGGTAGGGGTATAAGATGGTTGAATGACTGGATAATTGCTTCACAGTTTCTTTTTTTCTTTTTTTTTTTTAAAGATTTTTTTTTTTTTAATAGAGGCATGTTTTTCTTTATTTATTTGTTTGCTTGTTTGTTTGTTTTGTTTATACATGCACTGGGTACAGTCAGAAGCGCGGGAGGGTGAGAGAATTCACCAGAGCCAGAGCGGGGAGCAGAGCAGGCAGAAGGACCGAAGTACACTGCTGAGGGGAGCAGCGGGTGGCAGGAGAGGTCTGCGCGCCATGTGGGACCCTCCACTGGTGGCCGGGGAGCAGCCGGGGATTGAACCGGCGCTGCAGAGGCCGCGGGCAGCTTCGCAACCCAGCACTCTACCGCTGCGCCACCGGGGAGGCCCGCTTCACAGTTTCTTATAAGTAAAAACAATTACGCTCCTAGGTATTTACGCAAGAGAAATGAAACATATGTTCACATGACAACATTCCTAACAGTCTTCCTTTAATCAATAAAAATCTGGAAACAACTCTAATATCCACCACTGGCAGAATGGATAAACAAAAAGTTAAATCCATAAAACTGGAGAGCACTAGGTAATTTAAAAACAAAAACAAAACCCAACACACTTTAATAGCTGCAATTTCAAGCAGGAATCTCAAAAATATGATGTTGAGGGCCTCCCTGGTGGCACAGGGTTTGTTAAAGTCTCAGCGCTATCAAGCTATCACCAGCCACTGCAGCATGAGTTCAATCCCCTGTGTCAGCCAGGGAGCTGACCCACATGGTGCAGCAGACCTCTCCTGTCTCATCCGCTGCTCCCCTCAGCAGTGTATCTCAGTAGATACACCTGTTCTGCTTCCTACTCTGTCTCTGGTGAATCCACTTACCCCCTGCACCTCTGGCCTACACCTCAGTTCTTGTATGCATAAATAAATACAATCAATCTTAAAAAAAAATGTTGCATGAAAAGGAACCAAAGTATATCTACTATATGATTCCATTTATAGGAACTACAAGGAATGACAAAATTAATTAGAACAGGAGTTTCCTCTGGGAGGTGGGAGTAGAGACTAACTGGAAGTGGACATGAGAGAACTTTCTGCAACAATGAAGACATTCTATATTTTGAGTACTGGTTGTATGAATGAGTACATATAACTGCCAAACTCATCAAATTCAACACTGAATTTCTGTGTATTCTATTTATATTTCTACCTCAATAACAACAAAAATTACTTGTTTAGAGCTCGGGGAAGACTAGGAATTAGAGATGAGAAAATCAGAGGATGGTTGATGGCTGAAGCTCAAAACAGAGGTAGCCAGAAGAGCAGGTAACTTCTATGCAGAGACAAAAACAATGTAGAATAGAAATAAAAGTCAGTCAAAATGAGAACATGGGTAAAAAACATTTCAGGATCAGATACAGAAAGAGGTGCTTTTAACTAAGGAGACACTGTCAAAGAAAAATATGAACATGGCAGGATCTCTAACACTAAAGGAAAAGAGGGCTCAAAAGAGAAGGAAGTTTGGGCCTCCCCGGTGGCGCAGCGGTTGAGCGCTGGGTTGCGAAGCTGCCCGAAGCCTCTGCAGCCACCGGAGGAGGGTCCCGCCTGGCACGCAGACCTCTCCTGCTTGCTCTGCTCCCCACTCTGGCTCTGGTGAATTCTCTTACCCTCCCGTGCTTCTGACTGTACCCAGTGCTTGTATAAATAAATAAATAAATCTTTAAAAAAAAAAAAAAAAGAGAAGGAAGTTAGACAGTGATATGAAAGAACAAGAAAAATCTAGCAAATTTGTCAATGAAGAGGCTGTGAAACTCTATTTTCCTTCATGGTAAAATTTGTAAATACTAATCTTTCCTACACATTTCCAGCTGTAATTCACAGGTAGATAATCTTATTTTCTCAAAATCTTACATAAGGAAATTGAAGTTCAGAGAATTTAAGAAAATTGCTTAAGGCATCACCCAGTTATGAAAGAACAAAACCAGGATAGATTGAGTCACTCCTTTAATCATTCAACAAAGTAATCAATTAGTGCCCTTTCCACACCAGGAATGTGCCAGTTGGATACAATGAACAATTGCTTTTGAAGCTAGTGAAAGATTGAGTTTGATAAGGACAGAAAAATAGTTGCTGGAGGACCTCCCTGGTGGCCTAGGGGTTAAGTCTCAACACTAGCACCACTAAGGCCTGAGTTCAATCTCCAGTTAGGGAGCTAACCCACATATGGCTCCGCAGACCTCTTCTGTCTCACCTGCTGCTCCCCTCAGCAGTGTATTTCAGTAAATCTGCCTGTTCTGTTCCCGATGCTGTCTCTGGTGAATCCTCTCACTCCCTGCACCTCTGGCCTACACACCAGTTCTCCTATGCAAAAATTAAGAAAAATAAAAAAAATAAGTGGCTGCTGGATGTGGCAAAATGATGTCATGATGTGATGTCACTGCAAGCATTTCACTGAGTGACAGGAGCTATGCAGAACAGACTGAGTATGAACAGGAGGTAAGTAGTAGAAAACTGTGTGGGCAGGTTTTTTAAAAAAAAAAACAAACAAATCTGGATATAAGCAAACCCCGAGAAGAGGTGTGGGCAAATAAAAGATTTTTAAAATATGGGAGACAGCAGAGTTTGTTTGTATGCTGGTTAGAACAATTTACTAAAAGAGAATGATGCCGGAAAACAGAGAAAGAAATGACCAATAGAGTTAAAGGAAGGGGCCTCCCCGGTGACGCAGCAGTTGAGCGCTGAGTTGCAAAGCTGCCCGCAGCCTCTGCAGCGCCGGTTCAATCCCTGGCCGCCGGGCAAGGGTCCCACATGGCATGCAGACCTCTCCTGCCGCCCGTTGCTCCCCTCAGCAGTGTACCTCAGTCCTTCTGCCTGTTCTGCTCCCTGCTCTGGCTCGCGTGAATTCTCTCACCCTCCTGCGCTTCTGACTATACCCAGTGCTTGTATAAATAAATAAATAAATCTTAAAAAAAAAAAAAGTTAAGGAAGACCAGGGTTATATCTTGGCATTATTCACTGAGCAGAATAATGAAGGATGTAGTAGCAGTGATTCCTCAAGGAAGCCTAAGTTAACAGGAAAATACAAATGCTGCACCCAGATAAGGGTCATGTATAATAGATGGCAATGAAGACAAAAGTCTCTGGCTCAAAAGCTACCCCAATAAAAAAAGGACATAGTTCTGATATTAAGAAATGTTGTGTGGCCCTTCCACAAACACACTTAATCTCCCTTGGGCCTATACAGATATAAATTCAGAAATGAGACTCACGTCATCTAGCAATTTGCTTCCCTCTGGATCCATCTTAGAAAGTTCTCGAAATGCTTCATCTCCCACAAAGCAAATTTCATGTCCATCCTGTATCAAAAAAGAGAAAAGAAATTTGGAGAAAAGAAACCTAAGGGAAAAAACCCTGGTGCAGCCTGTCTCCTCCTGAGTAATACTTACAGGGTCAGCCAGAATGACTACTTGGACTGTTGCTTTTCCTGGGGTATCCAGACTCACCAGGGGAGTCAGAATCTTCTGGTTCTCCCTTTTCATCAAGTCTTCTAAGTCTGGCAACTGGAGGAAAACAAAAAGACAAAGTGAACAATGGGTCACACAGGACTATCAGATCAACCAGAAAGAACTTGGGCACCATTTATTTAATTTTATTATCTTAGCTGCTTTTGAGGCAACTGTTGAACTTGATACAAAGCCACAATCAGAATGAATGTAAAGAAGGGAGTGCCACGATTCTTAGCTGGTTGAACTAGCTAGTCACAGAATTTAAACAAAAGATTCGGCAACAAATTCTACCTCTTTTTGGGGGCAAGAAAAAGCAATTCTTCCAAAAGCTGCTGCATGGTCAACTGCACTCTTGATGCCCTGTAGCTCCAGTTTACACTGAAAAGAAATAAAGTAGGTTTATTTTTTGGGGAACAAGCTATGTAGCCAATAAAAAAGCTGCAAAGAGTACTAAAGAAATAAAGCAAAAACTAAGTCTCTTTCCTACCCTCACCCAGCAGTTTCCTCTGTTTCCTTCTAGACACATGGCATGCACACATCTTTTTTTTTTTAAACTCAAATTCTGACATAATTTATTCGTTATTCTGCCCTTGCCTTCTCCAATCAATGTTATCATATCAGCACATAAAGACTTGCTAATTTTTTTCTTAGTTGTACATTATTCTGCTGTATAGACGAGCCATAAATTATTCAACTATTCTTGTAATCCACAGGCCATTTGGGTGATTTCTTATATTTTGCTATCATAAACAATGACACAGTAGATAACCTTGGGCATACTTTTTCATGCATGTCTGATGAGTACATCCATAAAATAAATTTCTAGGACTAGACTGCTAGGTCAAAGTACAAGGATTAAATAATGATCATATTCTAGGTTATTCTTTTTAGAAGATGAAAATCATTATAGTGTTAAATCTCTCTTGTGACTCAGTAATTCCACTTGAGGATATGTCCTCAAATATAAACAAAGGTAGTATCTGAGTGGTGAGGTTATCAGAAATTTTTATTCCCTTCTTTTGTTTATCTGTATAAATACTGAATCACCGTGAAGAAACTATGGGATAACCTTCACATTAGCCTCATTTATAAAACAAACTTAACAGGTTATTTCTATCCAAGATCACTCACTTGGTTATCAGCATAGCCCAGCAAAGCCCTTTGCTTCTCTTCATCTTTTTCATAAATTTTCATTCCCAGTAGATTAGACCAGTAGTTCAAGGACTTCTGAAGATCAGACACTGCTAGAGTTACTTTTAATACAGGATCTGTAGGGTCATAAAACAGCAGGATGGACAGGTCAGGGCAACAGAATAGAAAGACCAAAATAGACCAAAATATATGTAAAAATTTATAAGAAAGGGATTTTAAATTAGTAAGAAAGGGCACATTATAAAATAAATGACATGGGCCTCTCCTGGTGGCACAGCGGTTGAGCGCTGGGCTGCGAAGCTGCCTGCAGCCTCTGCAGCGCCAGTTTGATCCCTGGCCACCAGCGAGGGTCCCACAAGGCGCGACAGACCTCTCCTGCCTTGCCCGCTGCTCCCCTCAGCAGTGTATTTCGTCAGTCTACCTGTTCTGTTCCCTGCTCTGGCTCTGGTGAATTCTCTCACCCTCCACACTTCTGACTGTACCCAGTGCTTGTATAAATAAATAAATATTTAAAAAAATAAATAAATAAAATAAATGACACTAAGAAACTGGCTGACCATTTGGTGGTAAAAAGTTTCACCTTTAAAAGAAATGGCAAAGGGCCTCCCCGGTGGCGCAGCGGTTGAGCGCTGGGTTGCGAAGCTGCCCGCGGCCTCTGCGGTGCCGGTTCGATCCCCGGCTGCTCCCCGGCCACCAGAGGAGGGTCCCACATGGCGCGCAGACCTCTCCTGCCGCCCGCTGCTCCCCTCAGCAGTGTACTTCGGTCCTTCTGCCTGCTCTGCTCCCTGCTCTAGCTCTGGTGAATTCCCTCACCCTCCCGCGCTTCTGACTGTACCCAGTGCATGTATAAACAAACAAACAAATAAATAAATAAAAAAAAAAAAAAAAAAGAAATGGCAAAAATACATTCCTGATGGGTTAAAGGATTAAGTTTAAAGAATGAAATTTACCACAGAAATACTAGAAATAGGTGATTATTTATACAATTTTGGGGTGGAAAAAAATTTTTTTTTAACCCGAGACCAAAGATAGAAACACTATGAAGGAAAAAATTTGCTAGACTAATTATACAAAAGGAAAATTAAACAACTAAAAAAAGAATTACCATCAAAATTAAAGTATTAAATGTGTTTTTCCAACACATGTTTAAAAGTCCTTAATATTTAAATCACCTTTAAACATGAATTGGAAAAAGATGAACAGCCTTGAAAAACAGGCAAAGGGTTCAAAGCAGTAATCCACAAGAGGAGGAACTAGTCAATGAACACCAGGAAAAATAGCCAACCTCACAAATAATCAAATGTTTGTGCCTACCCTGGGATGTAAAAAAAATATTAAAGTTAAAAAAGAAAGTAAAAAGAGGATTCAAATAGGGGCCTCCCTGGTGGTACAAGGTGTTAAGATGCAGCACTATGAAGCAATCTGCAGCTACTATAGCATGAGTTCAATCCCCAGCCCAGGAGATGATCCACGAGGCATAGCAGACCTCTCCTGTCTCGCCTACTGCTCCCCTCAGCAGTGTATTTCAGTCAATTCACCTGTTCTGCCACCCACTCTCTCTGGTGACTCCTCTCACCCCCTGGCACCTCTGGCCTGTACCCCAGTTCTTAGATGCATAAATAAATCTTAAAAAAAAAAAAAAAGAGGATTCAAATAAAACATCTCATTATCTAATTGGCAAATAATTTTAAAGTTTTCAATGTTAATTGTGATAGTGGGAGGGTCACAATAAAACAACACTAGTAAAGTATAAATTAGTACATTTCTGGGCAACAATGTATCAAGTCTTAAATGTATACTTTCTAAAAGAGCAATCCCATTTTCAGCAATTAAAGAAGTAATGGTAGATGATAAAGCTTTTCAATCACAAATACATACAACACAGTGTAGCTCATAACAATGAAAACACTAGGAACAACATAAACATCCAACAATAGGGCACTGTTCATCTTCCTACAATGTATAACAACGCAGTATTTCAAGTATTAAAACATTATTAAGACCAGGGGAAAAAGTGGCCTCCCTGGTGGCATAGGGGTTAAAATCTCAGTGCTATCAAACTATCGCCAACCATGCAGTACGAGTTCAATCCGGCCAGGGGGCTCACCCACATGGCGCAGCAGACCTCTCCTGTGTGGCCACTGCCCCCCTCAGCAGTGTATTTCAGTAGTTCTGCCTGTTCTGCTCTCCACTGTTTCTGGTGAAACCCCTCACTCCCTGCACCGCTGGCCTGTACCCCAGATGAAAATGTGGGACCATGTATCCCCATAGTTACTGGCAGTGACCCCCACAACCACAAGAGGAACTGGTTCTAGAAGTGGATCCCTGTAGACCAGAGAATGCAGACAGGAAATCTGGGTTCTTGATGCCATTACTGAACTGCTGAATAAATGACTTTCAAATTTTTCCTACTTTTGTAGAACGCTTATTCTATGAGTTAAACATTTTCCTGTGGTTCAAGCTAGCTTGAGTTGGGTTTTCTGTTATTTGCAACTGAAAGTATCCTAAATAGATATATTACCAGTAGAACAGAAGCAATTTCCATCTCCACAGTTATGAGCTAAAGCTCTAACACAAGATTATAATTTCTAGAGAACAAATAACACTGGCTGGGGAAAGAATGTCATGTCAATATAGAAAGATTCCACAGGAGAAAGAAATCCAGCTTCCATCAAAGATGCTGTTAGACAGCAGGCTTTTATTAGTCAAGGCATAATTACCTGACTGAGGTGAACTGCAGTTCTGTAAATAGAACTTATATCCTCCTGGGGCCTCAGTTTCAAAAACACCTTCTGCAACTTCACTGAGTGGCCACTCCTGCTTTCTGGCATTGCTGACAGCCTGGCTAGAAGCGAGCGTGATACCCTATGACAAACAATACAACCCAAGTGTATAATTACAATAGATCTTTTGCAGAACAAGGTAATGAAGCAAAACCCCACTGCTTTTAGGTTAAATAACCTAAGATTTAATTGGCATTCAAAGTTATCTTCTGGTGATTTTAAGTAGGTTTTGAGTGTTTCCTCCTATGAAGATTTTGACTTTTATGATTATGACAGGAATTCAAAGTTTTGCAGTTTGATTCATTTATACTGAAGACAATTTCTCTTTAGTTTCTAAGATTTAGTCAGAGAAAATCTTGATCTTACCTTGGCTTTGGCAGCTACCTTTGTTTTTTTGAATGTTTTATTTTTGCATTTTTAAGAGGAAAAAAAGGTAAACAAATCAGCAAGGCAATCTTTACATTCATTTAGTCAATGTTTATGTATGTGACCAGTCTCCTTTCTAGCTTGGATTATTCTAACATCCTCTCTTTGTCTTCAGTTCTATCAATCAATGTTTAAGAGATAGTTCTAGGGGCCTCCCTGGTGGCGCAAGGGATTAAGCACTACACTATGAAGCAATCTGCAGCCTCTGCAGCATGAGTTCAATCCCTGGCCGGCCAGGGAGCAACACATGGGGAGGCAGACTTCTCCTATCTCTCCCACTGCTCCCCTCAGCAGTGTATGTCCGTCGTCTGCCTGTTCTGCTCCCTGCTCTGTCTCTGGTGAATCCTCTCACACCCCGTATCTCTGGCCTACACCCCATATCTCTGGCCTGTACCCCAGCTCTTGTATGCATACATAAATAAATCTTTAAAAAAAGAGAGAGATTTCTAGTACTAGAAATATATATATTTTTAAGGTTTATTTATTTTTATACAAGAGCTGGGTACAGGCCAGAAGCGCCGGAGGGTTAGAGGATTCACCAGACACAGAGCGGGGAGCATAACAGGCAGATGACCGAAATACACTGCTGAGGGGAGCAGTGGGCACGACAGGAGAGGTCTGCCACGCCATGTGGGAATCTCCCTGGCCGGGAATCGAATCTCCACTGCAGAGGCTTCGGACAGCTTCACAGCACTGCGCTCAACCCACTGTGCCCCACTGGGGAGGCCCTCTAGTACTAGAAATATTAAGAATAAAAAGGGCAGCCTATAAAAAGGCACATCAATCAGACTATCAGCAGACTTTTCAATAGAAGCATTACAAGCATGAAAGGACTGGAAAGAGGTATTCCAAGCACTCAAAGAAAAAGATTGACAGCCCAGAATCCTTGATCCAGAAAGATTAACAACCAAGACAGAAAGATGAGTAAGGGGATTCAGTGAAAAGCAAAAACTAAAATAATTTATCAACACCAAGTAGCATATGAGTGAAATCCTAAAGGGATTATTACAAAGTAACAGAATAATGAATACTGAGGCAAAATAACCACCTAAATTACTTAACATGGAGAAGGAATCGATGGAGGAGAGGAACAATGTGGTCCATCCGAACCAGTCAGAAACCAGACCCTCCAACAGGTCACATAACTAAGCCATCATATGCTAACTTCAGTAAAACCTACAAACCAAAAAAATGATAAAAGTAACATCTTACATGACAGAAATAGAACCTAAACAAAACATAATAGGAAGCCCTTAAAATAAAGATAAACCAAACCAAAACCAAAAACATAACAAAAGATCTCAATAATCACCTTAAATGTCAAGTGGCTTAAACTCTTAAACTCACCATTCAAAAGTTGCAGTCGGGGCTCCCTGGTGGCATAGGGGTTAAGTCTCAGGGCTATCACTGCTACCACCTGAGGCTACTGCCCGAATTCAATCCCCAGCCAGAGAGCTAACCCATCACAGATGGTGTAACAGACCTCACCTGTCTTGCCTGGTGCTCCCTCAGCAGCGTATTTCAGTAGAATCAATCGCCTGTTCTGCTCCCCATTCTGTTTCTGGTGAATCCTCTCACCACTCCCCACCTCTGGCCCTCACCCCAATCCTTGTATGAATAAATAAACAGGGCCTCCACGGTGGCGCAGCGGGTTGAGCGCAGCGCTGTGTAGCTGTCTGAGGCCTCTGCAGCGTGAGTTCGATTCCCAGCAGGCCAGGGAGATTCCCACATGGCACGGTGGACCTCTCCTGTCTTGCCCGCTGCTTCCCTCAGCAGTGTTTTCGGTCGTCTGCCTGTTCTCCCCACTCTGTCTCTGGTGAATCCTCTCACCCTCCCGTGCCTCTGGCCTATACCCCAGCTCTTGTACAAAAATAAATAAATCTTTAAAATAAATAAATATATTTTTTAAAAGTTGCAGAGTGGTTAAATGGGGAGAGAAAAGGACAAGGGGACGCAAGGAACAGTAGTGGGGGAGAAGAAAAAATGAAAGAGTTCTAACTTCTTTTTTTTAGTCTGTCTAATCATAGTTTTGGTCCCTTTCAAAAAATTAAGTTGTTAATCCTTCCCTTTTTATTTTTTTTTTTTTTTTTTTTTTTTTATAGAGGCATGCTTTATTTATTTGTTTGCTGGTTTGTTTGTTTGTTTGTTTATACATGCACTGGGTACAGTCAGAAGCGCGGGAGGGTGAGAGAATTCACCAGAGCCAGAGCGGGGAGCAGAGCAGGCAGAAGGACCGAAGTACACTGCTGAGGGGAGCAGCGGGCGGCAGGAGAGGTCTGCGCGCCATGTGGGACCCTCCTCTGGTGGCCGGGGAGCAGCGGGGGATCGAACCGGTGCCGCAGAGGCCGCGGGCAGCTTCGCAACCCAGCGCTCAACCGCTGCGCCACCGGGGAGGCCCCAATCCTTCCCTTTTTAATGTACAGGAGTTTTTTTTGTAAATGGGAATTCTTTTTAACTGGCTTTTTTTTTTTTTGTTCTGTGACTTGAAGAATATGGAAGGATATGTTCATCGGGGGCTAGTTTACTACCAAAATCTCTCAGAAGACCCACAATAGAGCAGTCAAGCGGTTCTCCACCACCTACATGGCCTCAGGCACCTGTAGTCCGAACCAATCAACATTTGGCATTAGCCAATTAAATTTTCATGGCAACAAGACGGTTTTGTTCTTTTTCTCCCTGATTTAAATTTGAAAAGATTAAAAAAAAAAAAAAAACAACAACCCCACACAAAGAAACTCTTATATATGCTCAGCCACTAAATCCTATCAATGCCAACTCCTGAACACCTCAAATCCATCTACTTCTCTCCATCTCCCACTACCCGGGCATCAGTTAAGGAGCTGCTACTCACTGTTTCATCCTCTGAGGCACTTTCCTCCCTTTCAACCCAGTCTCCATGCTCTAGCCAGGTGGATTCTTGGCATTCCCCTGCCTAGAACTGAAAATGGCTTCACTCTGCTTTTAGAACAGTTTGAAAATACTCACATTGCTGCAGATATAAATTCTAGCCTTTTACCCAGGCCTCGGAAAAACAAGCAGTACTTCAGGAATGGTGAGTTCAGGAGAAGCTTTATTACTCATGCATGAGGTCTCAGACCTGGGCAGTCCCATAGGGTCTGAGCACCAGCTTAGAGATAAAGGGTCTCTTTGATACATAACCATCTTACATTGATAATATCAGTCAGTGATCACAAAAGTTCTTGACAAAAGGGGAAAATTGCAGATATCCCAGGATGGCCCGGGAGATCAACCAGCCTGGCCGGTGGTCCCATGTTAGAATGCCACCTCCTTTAGATATGCTTATTAGGGAAGCAAACTTTTTATTTACAATTGCATTGGATTATTTACTACACCAGGCCTAAGACCCATTAGTAGGAAACAGGAAAGATTTATTTGCTTAGCAGTTCCTTTTCAATATGATGTGGTCCCAGTTTACTTCTCCAACCAGACTGCTACTCAGTAATCTTGAGTGCCATGCTATCTCTCATCTCCAGACCTGTGCACAGTGTACATGCTGAGAACCCTCGTTTCACCCCTGCCCGTCCCACAAGCCCTCTCACTTGGCTCAGATGTCACTATGGGAAGCTCTCCATGAACTCTCACCTCTCTGGGAATAGGTTGGGAATTCCTTCTATGTGTTTCCACATCCCCCTGTTTTTAGCCCAATCTTAGTACTTAGCATATGTATTCTCACCATCTCTTTGCTTATTGTCTCTACCAGACAGGCTCTTTAGACAAGGAACACACTTCACTAATATATTTGTAGGACCTGACAAAACCCAAATTTGTTAAATATCTGCTAAATTTATAAATTAGTGAGAGACATTAATAGTAAGAAAAACAGGGCTTCCCCTAGTGGCAAAGGCGGTTGAGTGCAGCACTGTGAAGCTGTCAGCAGCCTCTGCAGCACTGGTTTGATCCTGTCCGGTCAGCCAGCGGCCAGCCAGCGAGGGTCCCACATGGCACGATAAACCTCACCGGTCATGCCCGCAGCTCCCCTCAGCAGTGTATTTCATCAGTCTGCCTGTTCTGGTTCCCACTCTGTCTCTGGTGAATCCTCTCACCCTCCCACGCATCTGGCCTGTACCCAGTTCTTGTGTAAATAAATAAATCTTAAAAAAAAAAAAAAAAAAGAGTAAGAAAAAAAAATTTTTTTTTTGGTTTTTGCTAAATATGAACAGTCCTCTCCACTTATAAAACACTTTTATACATATAGGCTTCTTACAAAAACTACCATTTAACATTAATATTTTGAGTTAACAAGAACAGCAAGATCAAATGACTCAAATAACATCCAGGAGTAGGATCAGAGTAGAAATTAGTTATGCCTATCTTCTATGTATTTGGGCCCAGAGATATTATATCTACCACAAAGCTAAGTGGTAGATATATTATAACAGGCGCACAATACCTTGAATTCTTGAATGAATGCAATGTATGCCATGTCTTCTTTTTACCCTTAGAGCCTCAGATTTTTCACTGGTTTTAATAGGGTAGGTCAAAGACAAGCATTCATTAGAAAATATGTCTCTGAGCGCAATCGGCACCTGACCAGCCTAATCACTCTGGCCCTCCTGCCTGTTAAGATTCAGCCATTCTGGGCCTCCCTGGTGGCACAAGGGGTTAGGTTTCAGCACTATGAAGCTATCAGCAACCACTGTAGCAGAAATTCCATTCCCGGTCAGGGAGCCAATACACATGGTATAGCAGACCTCTCCTATCTTGCCCACTGCTCCCCTCAGCAGTGTCTCTGCTGAATCCTCTCATCCCCTTCCCCCCCACCCCACCCCCGCCACACACCCTTGAACTACACCCCAGCTCTTGTATGAATAAATAAATAAATCTTTAACAAAAGAGAAATATTCGGTCATTCCATTGAAGGACTCTTGTTTCCTTCACAGTTGACTCTAAGACCTGAGGTTGATTCCTAAAAACTGGGAGAACACATTTCTTCTTGTAGCCAGCTCTGAGACAGGGATGCCCAAGTAGTTTTTTGTTTTGTTAAATCTGTAACATTATATAACATTATAAAACTAAGCAGAACCCAAAAGTCATCAATTCAGCAGTTATCATAGCTAAAGCTCTATCAGTAATTTCAATAAAGGTACATCTAAAAATTTGCTAGAACAAAAATGGTATTTACCATGAAGTCATTGCCAAGCTTGTACTCTCCAATGCCATAATTATAAGTCAGTTCTGCAACAAAATGATCATCCTCAGGTCCAAATCCCACCATTGTTTTACTCCACTTCCCATCATAAGGTCTAGAAATGAAAGTAAACGAACCCAGTGACCAAAGAGAATTTGCTTCAGGCCATCCCCCCAAACTACTGGGCACAGAGAGGTGGGTAGTCCCTCTGGTCCTCTAAGTCCCCAAAAGGATGAGATGATCTCAGATGGGGTGCTAAGGATGGCTGTGGACAGTGTTTGTGGGCCCTATTACCAAAGGCTCCAAAGACCATCTGTTTGGAACTTACTTGGAGGAAAGGTTCACTTTCCTTTAAAGCAGGAAACAGAATCCTACATAATTCTCCAATCTGATTTTAATTTTTCTTTTTCTCTTTTGACTTTCCATCTAGAAGCATGCAATTCCCATCAAACCTTGGGATTTTTCAGTTTGTTGTGGCTACTAAGCTAAAGAAATATTTGATAAGACATTGCCTCATCCAAAGCATATACTAATTTGTTTTCCTGAAGTTGCCCCCCTGCCCCCGATTTAATGCCTCCTTAATTTATTCCACTGTCTTCCACTCACTTTGAGAAAATGCCTTCTGTTGTTCAGAGCCTAAAGGAGATTTTAAGAAACAAGGCATCATACCCATTACAGGCAGCTTTGCAGCCTTCTTCAAATTCCTCATGCCGTAGAATCTGGTAAGGAAATTAGAATAAATTGTAAAGTTTTAATAGTACTGAACACAGCATATTTAGCACAACCCAAAATAAATACATTATCATTTATAAGATTTACTGGTTAAACAAACAAAAGAAAATGAGTTTTATATCTTTCCCAGGCTAGCAATAGTAGAGATAAGGAAGAACAGCTGACATTAGGGTCAGGGAACTAGGGTCACAAAGTTGTGATAACTATTTAGATTGGGAAGCAGAGCTGTGTAGCAGGAAAAGTGTGGCCTTCAGTAATAGAGATGTCTGACTTGGAATTTTAGTTGTCCTTCAGTAATTGTGTTACTCTGAGAAAGTTGCTTAGGATCATCTAACATGCTATGAAAATAGGTGATTTAGTAAAGCATCCGACACAGAACCTAGTATACAGTAGGCTCTCGGTGTCTTAGTTTCTGTTTTTCTTTTTGATTCCCACTATTACTGTTCCAGTTCAACCTCCCACCAATTCTCCAGAGACTATTAAAAAAAAGTTTTTATTAAATCTCCTTCCTTAATAACACCATAAAACTATGTCCTTAAAGCACAATTCTAATCACATCACTGCCTTGTTTAAAAGCATAAGAGGATTCTTATGCTTGCTTACTTATTGTGGCATAAAGTCCAAATCCCTTAGTATTCAATGTACTATCAGAAGCAATATCTTCAATCCAACCTACTGGTCCTAATGTTCCATATCTTCTCAACTTCAAGTAATCTATGCTAAAGGAACATAAAACTAGTAGTGTTTCTTAAACATACATTATTTTGTATTGGCTATTTAGTTTTTCTAGCATTTTCCTCCCTCTAATCTTGGTCTTTGGAAATACTATCTTTAGAAGTCAACTCAAATGAGGTTTTCTGCTATAACTTATCAAATTTCAACTTCCAATGTACAAATTCAATTCCCACCTCCATGGGCTTTAACTGAGGACAGATACGAGGGTTATTTTCCTCTTTGTCCCCAAAACTCAACACAGTGCTGTGAAATATGGCCCATATTTTTTATTTCAAGTAACTTCTTTTGCACACCACGTCTCCTGCACTGTCTCTAAACTTAACTCTTGCACCTCTAAAGCCCTTGCTTAGTAGGAGCTACCCAATAGCTTCAACCTGGGTTTGCCACCCAGGTGACCCCTGCAGAATCACACAGCTGCTCAGGGCTGGAGAGAGGCTGCTTGCTTCCTGGTGTTGGCGCGGTAAACTGCTGACCTCAAATTTAGTCTGAATTGTAGAGAAGAGAGCCGGAGCATAAACCAAGAGCGAGTTAGTATCCAAAAGAGACTGTACAAACCAACCCTGTCAGAAGCGGAACATTGAATAAACCAATTAACTTAACTGAAAGGCTCCAAACCAGGAATCTGAGTTATTGCTAATTGGACGAGTATTCATAACTTCTTGTTTACTATCCTTAAGCTAAATGTAAACTCCCCAAGGTTAGGAGTCCAATAAATATTTCTGAAAGAATTTAAATGAATGGGCACACAGTGGCAACTAATAAGGCTATGTAACTCAAAGAGCGACTCAAAACGCTTCCTGAAGCTGAAAATCTTAGTGTCGGGGACTAGAGTCGGACACTCAGGTTCCGACTGAGATCACGACACACCTCACTTCTCCCCTTCCTCGGCAGCTGCGGCTCAGCAGCCCACGCCTCCCTCGGGCGCCAGTCCCTGTCGGCCCCGCAAGCACCTTCATTCCCAGGATATCACGGTAGAAACGTGCGGTCTGGAAGCGGTTTCCCACTTTGAAGACGAAGTGTAGAGCTCGGCGAGCAGCCATGACCACCATGATGCACACCACTCACCAGTGCAGCGCCACCCAAGATGACGCAGCGGTCGGTAACGTCACTAGTTGCGGCCGGCGCTCGTCCGTGACGCAGCCCACCGCACAGGCCAAGATGGCGGCGCTAGTGAGAGGCTCGGCCTTGGTCACGCGCCCATTGCTGACGGTATTCCAGAGTTGGGACATCGACGCGCGTCGGTGGGTACGAGCGCTGCGGCGGACCCCGGTGAAAGTGGTGTTTCCGTCGGGACGGGTGGAGGAACGGAAGCCCGGAACTGGGAAGCAGCCCCGGAAGGCGGCTGAGACCAGTCCCCACGAGCAACGATCGAAGCAGCCATGTCAAATGCGCCCAGCCCAGGCGCCCAGCACCTGGGAAGACTTGGGGCTTCGCTACGATAAGGCTTTACCCGGCGACAAGAGGTTGAGGTGATGTGTTCCTGAGGCTTGATGAGTAGTCTTTCCACTTCTCTCCCCTCTAACAGCGGGGCTTTAACAAAACCTTCCCTTCCGACGAACCACCTCATCTAGTGCAACCCACTGCTTTTGATTATGCAGATTAAGTACAATAAGGGGCTTCTTGAAATCGGCTTTAAACCTCTATGAAGCCTTTTTTTTTTTTTTAAAGATTTATTTATTTATTTATTTATTTATACAAGCACTGGGTACAGTCAGAAACACAGGAGGGTGAGAGAATTCACCAGAGCCAGAGCAGGGAACAGAACAGGCAGATGTACTGAAATACAGTGCTGAGGGGAGCAGCGGGAGCGGCAGGAGAAGTCTGTCGCGCCATGTGGGACCCTCGCTGGCGGCCTGGGATTGAACCGGCGCTGCAGAGGCTGCAGACAGCTTCGCAGCCCAGCGCTCAACCGCTGTGCCACCAGGGGAGGCCCTCTATGAAGACTTTTGTGTCTGCTAGAACAAGGTGTGTTCGAATTATGTTGTTAGTAATTACCCGTCTTTTTGTCCTTTCCTACCCACAGCAGCGCGATGACAATTGTTAAGTCCAGGCCTTTTCGGGAAAAGCAAGGGAAGATTCTGCTGGAAGGTCGCAGGCTGATTGCAGACGCACTCAAGGCTGGTGCTGTGCCACAGGTTTTCTTCTTTAGCCGTCTGGAATATATAAAGGAGCTGCCAGTTGACAAGCTGAAAGGTGTCAGCCTCATTAAGGTGAAATTTGAGGATATCAAGGATTGGTCCGACCTAGTAACACCACAAGGAATAATTGGTCAGTGGTTATACAGTGTATCACTAGAAGTAGAGACCTAGGATTATTTGTTCATACTTGGTTAAGAGCAACACATTTTATCTAAACCAAAATCAAATTATTATTGCCTAATCTTTTACCAAGACACTAAAAAAAAAAAAAAAAAACCTCAAAAAACTGTAACATTCTTGGGCCTCCACGGTGGCGCAGCAGTTGAGCGCTGGGTTGCGAAGCTGCCCGCAGCCTCTGCAGCGCCGGTTCGATCCCCGGCTGCTCCCCGGCCACCGGAGGAGGAGGGTCCCACATGGCGCGCAGACCTCGCCTGCCACCCGCTGCTTCCCCTTAGCAGTGTACTTCAGTCCTTCTGCCTGCTCTGTTCCCTGCTCTGGCTCTGGTGAATTCTCTCACCCTCCCGTGCTTCTGACTGTACCCAATGCATGTATAAACAAAAAACAAACAAACAAACAAATAAATAAATAAAACATGCCTCTATTAAAAAAAAAACAAAAACTGTAACATTCTCAAATTGTGTATCTTGCATCTTCAGAAAAAACTGAGGCTAGCATTCACATGTTTATTATGTTTTTTCATAATTTCTGGAAACAACTACTCTTCCTCACACCTTGGCTTGTTTGTTTGTTTGCTTGTTTTTAGGTCATTTCGTCAACCCTTACTGCCAAATTAAGAAAATGTTTACCAAAAGATTTAGCCGTCCATTTACACAAAACCTGTGTCATTGTTGTGATACCTGTCCATAGTTAAGCAGTGAAGTGTGAGTGGCAATGTATTGCCCTGTTTAGCAGCCTATTGAAAGGAAAGCTTGTCTTCTGGAGATTGTTTCTTCATTTGGTTGAATATAACTTAAAGTTTTATGTAATCGTAATGTCAGTTAGCACTTGAGTTTTTATCTAAATATGGTAAATTGGTAAATAAAAGTATTTATCTAAGTATGGTAACTTCTTTATGTCTTCTTGCCATTGGAGTTATACTTGAGCTGAGAATTGAATGACAGTAAGTGTAGAAATTTCTCTTGATAGTAAGGCATAGTTGGAACAGAGAGGTTTTCCAAAGTTTAGGCCAGGTTCTTTTATGCCAGTTGTTCATGGGTATTCCCAGAGGTCACTGCAGCTAATAGTTGGACCAAGAAAATCTGGGGAGCCATCTCCTGTTTCTGTAACCCAGTAAGCCACAAGACTCTTTACCTCTACACTTAAAACACTCCTAGGAAGAAAAAGAACTCTCCTGTGATGGGAACTTGAACTAAGTATCTATATGCTCATGAACTGCACCTCTTTTGTCCCTACCCCATGCCACAGTGGAAGTATGACTCAGTTTTACTGTTGGCTGCTTTTGGGTATGTGTGCTAATAGTCACCAGCCCTTTTTGGGCTTCTGAAGTCCCCTTATCATTATTAACTTGTCATCATTTCATGGTTCTTAAAAATATACATTATTCAACTTACCGTGTTTTTATTTCACATTGGAAGAAGAGGAGGGTAATGGGAGAAATAAATAAGGGCTAGCACTACCTGTCAGACTTCAGGCACATCTCTCAAGCCCAGTAATGTAAATGGGACCCCTAGAAGTAGTAAGTTCTTATCACCATAGCTGTTTAAGTAGAAGTGAAAGGATTTCTAAGATCCCCTGCCCCACTGGCTGGTCTTTTGGCTATCTGTGACTCTTAAGTACAGGATCTTCTTACAGTGCACGGTTACCTAATACCATTCCATTGCTTCATTAATGGGTTAGGTAATTAGAATTTATGTGTTGTTGGTTGGGGTGAATAATCCAAGATAGCCAAGGGGTGGGGGTTGGGGATGGCGGTTTGGCAGTATATGTTAATATGAAGAACTATACCACATATCCATTTCACTTATAACTGTTTATTCTAGGGAAGTATTTAGATCTACACGCAGTCATACATGGATGTTCACTGCAGCACTGTTAATAGAGAAAATGGAAGATAATCTAAATATCAGACATTTGGAGAAGAGCCAAATAATTGAACATTCGTGTTACAAAATAACATGAAACAGTTAAAAGAATAAGGTAGCTCCAAATGTGTTGATATGGTAAATTTTCCAACATATCTTGTGTTATGGGTGTTAAATAAGCAGATTACGGAATAATACCTAGGGTGTGATTTTTTTTTTTTTTAATATAAAAGGTAAAAGCATCTGGTATGGATAAGTTACATATATGTAATATTTGTAATTTAGATGGATGAAACATTCTGAAAGGTTGAAACCTGTTTTTTGGGGGGGTTGAGTGATAAGACTTTATGTTGTATGAATTTTTTTGATCAGTATATTTGTTATAATTAATACAGAAAGAATGATAAATGAAAAGTCAAATTATTCCCATGTCAACATCAAACAATTGAAGCACCTGTTTTGTTTCCTCAGGGATTTTTGCCAAACCTGATCATGTTAAGATGACATACCCAGAGACTCAGCTTCACCATTCACTACCCTTATTATTGATTTGTGACAACCTCCGTGACCCTGGGAACCTGGGGACAATTCTGAGATCGGCTGCTGGCGCAGGCTGCAGCAAGGTGTTACTCACCAAAGGTAAGAGCGCCTGTTACTGAGTGGATAGGTGGTCATATTTCAGTGACCTGGCTCACTTATTAGCTGTAGGTCTGTGAGCAAATTCTGTGTCCTGTTTCCTCATCTGTAAAGTGGGCATAACAGAATCTACCAGGTAGGGTTGTTTTGAGGATTGAGATGCACATTAAGTTCTTAGCATTCTGCTTGGTATATAGTAAATAATTCAGGAAAAGTTCATCTTTTAAAATTATTTTAATACCTGCTAAGTTATTTTGAAAAAAGAACTTAAAATCAATCAGGAAAGAATAGATGCCAGTTTGAACACTTGGTTTCAGTAGGTTTCTAGTGATCTTGTTAGACCTTTGTTATAAAGGTCTTGACATTTTGAATCCCATGAAAGGAATAATGTCTGAGTGTGGTTATGAAATTGTGATCAGTTTCCCTTAACTTGATAATGGATTAAACATACCACAAGCAAATTAGCCTTATTATATTTCTGTCTTCTCTCATTAGAAATGGGGATTAGTAGCTTTGGTTTTAAACCTACTTGCCTAATTGTTGGGGCACGCCTAAAATGCTCTTACAACTTGAAAGGGTGGAAAAAGAATATCATCATTCATTAGAAACACTGAAACTACTTTACAGCATAAACTAATGTGGCACCCTCGCTGAGACTTGCCTAAATTGCTCCTCTCAACACTTCCTCCCACTCACACCTGTTGGAGTGCATTTCTCCACCAGTGTGCAAGCTAGGTGCTGGGGTTCCACCATCAGTACCCCATTTACCTGTCCCATTATTGAATGCTCCAAGAGCAGGTGTGGCTTTGGAAATGTGCTTATGTAATCCAAGCAGTGTGGCTTCTGCACTGATGTTGGGCCTGGTAAATAAGAGGTAGGGAAGAGCAGGGAATACGGTGTGGTGCCCAGTATCAGGCCTATGAGGATGAGGAGAAATCTCATGTTCCTTACTCCCCTTAGGGTACAGGGGTTAGTCTAGAAGGTGCCCCTCATGAGTCTGGGCCCCTCTTTTCCTCCCTTCCTCCAAGCCTCATGGCATACAGCCTAACTCCCATCTGTGGTTCCCCCCGGTGATGGAGAAAGCCCACAATTTGAGATGTGTGTGGGTAGTGTTACATTGGCCGTATCTTACTTTCTTTTTAAAATTTGATTTGCCTGGGCCTCCCTGGTGGTGCAAGGGGTTAAGCACAGCACCATGAAGCTATCTGCAGCCTCTGCAGCACGAGTTCAATCCCTGGCCAGCCAGGGAGCAACCCACATGGCACAGCAGACATCTCCTGTCTAGCCTGCTGCTCCCCTCAGCAGTGTATTTCAGTCAATCTGCCTGTTCTGTTCCCTACTCTGTCTCTGGTGAATCCTCTTACCACCCTCGTACCTCTGGCCTACACCCTAGCTCTTGTATGCATAAATAAATAAATCTTTAAAAAAGAGTAAGAGAGCTATACACACACAATGAGAAGGTTTTGCCTTGGTTCAGGTTCTTGTCATCCCCATAGATTATTGTAATTGCCTCTTAACTAATTTCTCTGTTTCTGCCATCTTCCCTCCGCCAGTCCAGATTCAATATTGAAGCCAAAACAAGTCTTTCATAAACTTAAACCACATTCTCTTACCACTGTGCTTCGAATTCGTAACCAGCCTCCTTTAATTTTTACCCACTGTGGTTCTCATCTCCTGTCGCATCCCCACCCATTAATTGACCTGATCACGTTACTTATAGTTCTTGAACTGTGGCTCTCTTTTCTCTTCTGTTACTTTTCCTCTGCCTGGGCCTTTCTCTGACAGATCCAGCTCAGTGTCATGTTCTCTGGGATGTTTTTCCTGTGGCCAGTGCCACCACCCCCTGTACAAAGAGCTTCTTGTAGATAGGGACTTTGATTCTCTTTGCATTTTCTGTACAAAGTCTGACACAGGTGTATGGTAAGTGAATAAAATCTGTTTCAGCACTAGCTGGCATTAATCCTAACATCCCTTTGATGGGCCTGTCATAATTGGAGAGGCACGGCAGGTCCCAGCTGTCAAGAAGGCTATAACACATATTTTGCTTTATCTCTTGATCCAGAATTCATCTGATTTACATCCATATCTCTTTGGGAAGGTTTGTAGTCTTTATTAGAGCCTGTCTTTTATTTTCTAGGCTGTGTGGATGCCTGGGAACCCAAAGTGCTGCGGGCAGGTATGGGTGCGCATTTCCAGGTGCCCATCATCAACAACCTGGACTGGGAAGCAGTGCCTGACTACCTGCCCCCTGACACCCGGGTTTATGTGGCTGACAACTGTGGCCTTTATGCCCAAGCCAGGATGTCTGACAAAGCCATTGGCCACAGCCAACAACTCTTGAAGTTTGACAAATATGAGGAGGAAGAGGTGGAGGAGGACTTAGAAACTGAAGCCAGTAAAGGTTGGCTGCCTGAACTTGAGGTCCAGAGTTACGACTTGGACTGGACAGAGGCACCAGCCGCTGTGGTGATAGGTGGAGAGACTCACGGTGTGAGCCTGGAGTCCCTGCAATTGGCCGAGAACACTGGAGGCAGGAGGCTCCTGATCCCCGTGGTGCCTGGTGTGGACAGCCTAAACTCCGCTATGGCTGCGAGCATCTTGCTTTTTGAAGGGAAAAGACAACTGCGGATAAGGGCAGAACACTTCAATAGGGACAGGTGTTACCACTGACAGAGCCCTGGAAGGCAGTCCTTGAAGCTGAGATTGTCTTCCAGCTCCTCCTACATTGTTAGGAAGGTGACAGAGTCAGTAATTGTGATTTCCCAGGCCATGTTCAGGAGACAGGCATGATACCATCATGTCGTTACTGGAAAAATAAGAATTTTCATGAATCTGCTGATCCTCAAAAAACAACAAAGGTCAAAATTCTTCCTGAAATTTTCCATTTCCCCACCAGTTCTTATTTTTATACACACAGACTTTTTTTTTTTATGGCGACAACCTAAACAAATGGTCTACATGACTTTGTATGCATATTAGAAGTTTTAAGAAATTGTCTAGGAGGATTTTTGTTTCCAGAAAGTCCCTGAAGGCATCATCTTGGGAAGGGAAGACTGTTTCTTGTGAATGTTTTGCAGTCATCAAGTACTGGATATGGGCTAGGCCCACTCGCTTACTTCTGATGGTTGATCGATGGAAAATAAATTGTGGAAATCAGCATATTACATTAAAAAGTTTTATTTCAGCGAGATCAATGAATCTCAGTGCCTGTCTTTTCATCTTTGGCCTAGCGATGAGGACATTGCTAAGAGATTAATGATGCTAAGAGTGAAAGCATTCCTAGCTAGCAATTCTTTCGGCTGTGTCCATCTCTCATTATTCTTCAAAGTGCAAGCCTTGACTTAAATTGTCACTGTTGTGTATAAGACAATTCCCCCCCTTTCTGGTGAAATAGCTTAATTCCTCTGGTGGTGTTACATCCTTTAGCACTTCTGCAGAGTCTTTTAAAGAACTCTTTGTTCAGAAAAGGAGTTTTTAAATCTTCAGCTTAATCCTGCACTTTCTTCAGTGAAAGTGTATCCTTTTTACTAGCTCAGAGCCATCAGTCTTACTTTGAATAACACTTTGGGTTAAATATAATGACTTGAGTTACTTTTTTACATTAATTGTGCCTCCTTCATAGAGAAACAGATGCTTAGGGAAATGCCAGTGCTCCTGGATGGCCTGTAAGCGGAGGTCTCCCTCCAGGGAGTGAGGCTGAGGCTCTGAGGATGAGAGCTTGTGGTCCTCAAGCTCCAACAATGCAGCAAGACCCTGTCCCCCAGACTTATTGGGGGATCAGGGCAAGGTGGGTCCATGCTTAGGAGGTGCCAGCTGGGACATAGCCAGGGATTATGATGGCAAATGCAGGTGGTAATCACTGTGTTTGTGACTCACCGTGGGACGAGGGTGGGTAAGACTGCAGTAATGGAACTTAGTTCAAGCAGTGCTTGAGGACAATGATAGTAGCAGCATAGTTGATCACATCTCTCTGTACAGGTGGCTCTTGTAATGGGCGGGCGTCCTTCAGCTGCTCCTTCCGGGGCAGTCCAGTGAGCTGCCTGTGTGCATGGGAGGGAGAAACCATGGCCCCTTTCCTTCCCCCAAGCTTCCTCAGCTCACCAGTAAAATTTCCTTTTGAGAGAACCAACGGTCAAGCGTGGTTTTGCTCTGGCATGTTTGAAGGGAAGAATCTGCAGGGATAATACCGGTTGGCCCTGTCCTGGGTCCGATGTGTTTGATAGAAGTGGCCCACAGATTATTCTTGAGACTCTGTCCCTGTCAGCTTTCAGAAGGCAGAAGAGTACACAGCTTTTATAGGGTGTTGAGACCACAAAGGCTGGGGCCTAGTCAGCCAGCTTCAGAATCATACAGCCTGTCACACCAGCTGGCTAACGCTGGGAAGCAGCCCAGAAAACTACCGCTCGAGTCTATTGACATTCAGTCTCTCAACACCTTGGAAAAGTGCTAAAGAAACAGAAGTCACTAAAAGGAAGCGCATGCCTTTCCATTGGGAAACCGGTCTCCCGCAATCTTTGTCCCTGGATTGTTCTTTTTTTTTTTAAGAGGCATGTATTTTTATTTATTTATTTGTTTGTTTGTTTGTTTTTTATTTATTTATTACATGCACTGGGTACAGTCTGAAGCGCGGGAGGGTGAGAGAATTCACCAGAGCCAGAGGGGAGAACAGAGCAGGCAGAAGGACCGAAGTACACTGCTGAGGGGAGCAGCGGGCGAGACAGAGAGAGGTCTGCTGCACCATGTGGGTTGGGGGATTGAACTCATGCTGCAGTGGCTGGCGACAGCGTGATAGCACTGTCCTTAACCCCTGTGCCACCAGGGAGGCCCTGTCTTCTAATGATAACCTGAAATCTATACAACATGTGGGACCCTCCTCCGGTGGCCGGGGAGCAGCCGGGGATCGAACCGGCGCCACAGAGGCCGCGGGCAGCTTCGCAACCCAGCGCTCAACCGCTGCGCCACCGGGGAGGCCCCTGGATTGTTCTTGATTTTTGTTACAAAATAAATCAGTGAAAGAGTGACAAACCGTGTACACCAAGCCCTGGTTTAGAAAAACAGTGCAAAACCATATACCTGGCAAGTAATTCTAAGCCTATTCTATCATCCTAGGTGTAAGAAGAAAAAAGAAATTTACCTCTCATTCACTACATAGTCAGTGGTGTCTGACTTTCATGTATCTGTTACTTTCATGTATTTGTATGTATAATTTGATGGCAAATTTTCCTTTAAAATGACTAGAGGGGAAGAAAGTGTCACTGATACTGGAAAATCACTGTCTTGAATTCTATATTATGAGGCCAACATTTGTTCTGTTACCATTTCCCCAGGAAATATGGATAAATAATATATAACAAACAAGACACTGCCTGAAACACTGTCAAAAGGTTGGCCAGGCTGCTCTTTTGCCTTTGTTTTACGTGGTGCTGCAATGTGATTTCTGCCACCAGGTGGCAGCCACACCACAGCCACTCCCAACCCTGAAGAAGGGCGTGGGGATTTTTCCTGAATTTGAGTTAAAGAGGTTGGAGTCTAAAGTCTCCCACCACCATAGAGGGCATTTTGCAAGCCAATTGTACTCAGAGGTGCTGCAATTGGAGACCCAGCCAGATTGTCACTTATTTTTTCAGCAGAATCTTAAGTATAGGAGGTTATTGAACCAAAAATTAAAGAGGAAATGGAGAGAGATGGGGAGTGGCTGCAGCAGGAAGCACAACTTTCCCCTTGGAATGGAGCCCCTGAAAAAGCAGTGCTGGGCAAATGCTGATGTCCCACCACTGCCTTGCTCTTCACTTGAGGCTTCAGGCCAGTGGGAGATGAAACCTCCTCTTTCTTTCCCCTACTCACAGCTGCTTGCTCCTGGTTAGGATCAACGGACTTCCCAGGACTAGTTCAAACGCAGACCTTCTACCACTTGCCCCAGGTTAATGGCAACACCAGATGTCATCACCATCCAAGCTGGGCTGCTCTTAGTTCCACTTGACATTCTGCCACATGAATGATTCTAGAAGTCTAGGTGAACCCTCCCCATTTTGCAAAAAAAAAAATCTCCCTAGATTAAGAATTAGGACTAAATGGAATGAAATTGTAACCACCCTTTGTTCTCTCTTCTCAGCTACCACCTCCTGTGTGATTAACCTTTGACCCATTTCTTATTTTAATGTATTTCTCTCCAATTGCATTCCTGGGAACTTGAATAATTGTGTTATATCTTTTTTTTTTTTTAAGATTTATTTATTTATACAAGAACCGGGGTATAGGCCAAATGTGCGGGAGGGTGAGAGAATTCACCAGAGACAGAGTGGGGAACAGAACAGGCAGACTGACGAAATACACTGCTGAGGGGAGCAGCGGGCAAGATAGGAGAGGTCTGCTGCGCCATGTGGGTTTCTTCCTGGCTGGCAGGGGATCGAACCAGCACTGCAGAGGCTGTGGACAGCTTCACAGTGCAGCGCTCAAGCACCTGTGCCACCAGGGGGGCCCCTGTGTTATACCTCTTAACAAAAGTTCCCTGTGCCCCTTTGAGGTTGACAGTAACATCAAAAACAAACATCTGCTGACTACTGCCAGGTGATGGCCCTAAACAGACACTCACTCCTTGTTGAGAAAGCCAAAAGCTGTGACTTACCATACCCAGGCTGTCCAGCACCCCCTTGGACCACAGATGTGAATCCCCCTCTCCCTTCCCATACCTTGTGCCCACATTTTTCCTTCCCCTTATACAATCACAGCACCCCTGCCATTCAGAGAGCTGGTTTTTAGGGTGTCAATTCCACTGACTCCCTTGGTGGCCACCTAGAATAAACTCCTTTGTAAAAAGACATTCCTGGTTTGGTTTGGCTTTTTGGATGGTGAGCGACAGACCCAGTTTGGTCACTAACAGGGGCAGTGTCTTATCCAGGGCTCCTTGGCTTATGCTGAGAATCAGCTGTGCAGCAGGACCTGGGGCTCCCCTCCTGACCAGCTACCTTTGTCCTGTAGGAATAGACCTGACTTTTTATTTATTTTTTTTTTTAAGGAAACAGACTCCTTTAAACCAATTTCTTCTATTTCCATCAATGCACGCACTAAGGTAGAAGCTAAATTAGTGGAAAAACTGATTTACTGCTCTAAGTCTTGAACTAAGTTGCTGTGTTACATTGGAGCAGCTGAGACAGCAGCCACAGCAGAGTCCTTGCTGAAAACCTCAGGAAGATGCTCAAAGTATGACTGAAATGCTGAGTGTATTACAAGATGGTACCAGTTCTGTTCTTATGTTTGCTTTATAGGGATGAGCCACTCTTTTCAACTGAGGTCACATAGTTGGAGAGGCCATCACCAAAGCTGCTACTGCTTCAAATTGCAGGAAGGGGACAAAGATTGGGAAGACACGGCTAAAGCCGGGTCTGACCTCCCAGTCTCCCTTGTACCTCCTTGATGGGAAAAGGGAGCCAATCTGACCGAAGTTCCTTATTTTTTGATCCTGGGTCCTAAGACCACACTGCCTACTATATCCCAGTTCTAGCCCGCATGGGTGACTGACTTGTGTGAGGCATGAGCACCATGAATCTATACTTGAGACTGTCTGCCTCCTTTGTGTGGCACTCTAGCCTACAGGCCTGGGGTCAGAGGCTGTCATGAGTTGGCACATTATTTAATGGAAATCCACCAGTCCCTCAAAACAAGTCCTACCCAAATCTAAAGGCACATCTCTTGGCATGGTAAGTATTCCAAAACACCGAGAGGTTAAGATATTTAAGGCTTGAACAATGAAGCTTATTTACTTCATGTTTCTGCATTTAAGGACATTTAGTACATGCAAACATTACATTTCCCCCCATCAAAGGGGAAATCTCTGCCATAAAGTAGAGCCAACACAAAATTTTCCTATATATTTTGTTTCCTGGAAAGTATTTCATCCTTTGCAATTGCTCCATTAACACTAATCATGAAACTAACGCAAAACAGCCATTTGTCCCCAAAGAGTTTTCTCTTGAGCAGCCTGCTCGCGGGACAGCAGGGGTGTCTCTTTTGGTCTCAGCAAAGCGGGTTGTAGGCTCACTTCAACACAACCATTTCAGGGTGAACTTGAAAATCCCCCTGAACTCTGGGTCTTTTTTGAGTCCTGGGGTCACACAGCAGCACCAGAGAGAAGCTGCAGAGGGCACTGCTGAGCCTCCCCACAATTCACTCTGCTTGCAGTCTGGTCTTTTGGGGCAAGCAGGGGCTTGCCTGGGCTGGGGGGCCCATGGCAGTGAACAGAAAGTGAGAGCTGTGTGCTTGCAAGACTGCAGGGGCCTGGGCCAGACATTGCTCAGGTCCCTCCCAGCTCTACAATTCCAAGTGCACAGGGTCTCTGCATGCGTGTGCACACACATGGGGGGCATTTTCCCCTATGCTGACTGTGCAACATCTTACCAGGCCCAGCTGATGGTTTGTTCCTCCACCACAGCTTATGTCTCTATCAGGACAGAATTCAGTTTGCTTCCCTGAAACAAGGCAGCAGGAGGAGAGAACAGCTTTTTAGTGTCTTTAATTAGGCAACAGGAAAAAACAAAGTCTGGCTGAAAACCACCACTTGAAGTTTGGTTGACGTCAAAAAAACAGTGCTGGCTCTCAGTGCTCAGATAAGTGAGTCTTTGATGTCAAGGACACACTTGGGGGGTTGCGGGGTAGCAGTCGCCCTTGCAATTACAGCCACCACTGTACATACCCTTTATGTCAATTCTGAATACACACCCCTTTTCCTACATAGGTAGATCTTTATTGCTGGAAACAGGTTAAAAAAAAAATCCCATCTCTGTTGTGAAATGGGTAGAATGGGACCTGGAAGTCATTGAGAACACAAATCTCTGGAACCCCAAGGTGGCATTTTTACAGCCACCATCCTGCCTCTTCTGCATGGCAAGGCTTCCCTTACTGCTGGCGGAAGCCCTTGAATATGTCACAGCTGGTGTTTTAACCTGCTTCCAATTAGCAACAAGAATTTTAAGGTATTTTGGAGCTGCTTAGTGGGAATTAAGAAGCCACCCACTTTGTCTGCATCAATAACCTTTAAGGTCTCTCGTACTCTCGAGACAGGATTTTTCCCTGGGTTTGGCACTGGCTGATGACCTTCCCCCAGCATTTACCCGCAAAGTGGCCACTATACAGGCACACCTCACTTGGTTGCACTTTGAGATATGGTGGGTATTTATTTTTTTTTTTTACAAATCAAAGGTTTGTCGCTAGGCTTTGTGGAACAACTCTATTGGTGCAATTTTTCCAACAGCACGTGCTCATGTCCTGTCTGTCAGATTTCATTTAGTTGTGTACGCTGTTACTTAGCCATACTATTGTACATTTAATAGACTACTGTTTAGTGGAAAGGTAACTTTTATATGCTCTGGGAAACCAACAAATTCATATGACTTGCTTTAGTGAGACATTCGCTTTATTGTGGTGGTCTGGAACAGAACCTGCAATAAATCTGAGGTGTGCCTGTATAAATCTAAAGCCCCATTTTAGTAAACCTTCCCCACCAACCTTAATCATCCCACATGCCCACTCCAAAAGGAGAAATCTGGTGTCAAGGATCCCGTTGGCATTAGCAGCTAGTTCAGTCAGCCCTGTACAGACCACAGAGGGATCACAGATGACTCATTTTCACCCGCAATGACTTTATAGTGGGTCCTCAGTTAACTTCTGCCCCAGAAGGTAAGTAGCTGCCAAGAGCCCACCTTTCCTCCAAAGGCCGTTATGATATAGGGCATTGACAGAAATCCCACCCTCTTCTGAGCAAGGTCCACTTCACCATGTCCCCTCACCCACCCCAACCCTGGGGTTCTCAGAGAAACCCTAGGACAGACTAGGTTCAAGGGTCTCCAACTATTGCCTCAGCATTCACAGGGGGATCCGTGTGGGACTCCTTGTCTTTCCCCAGCAGGCTTTCTCAGGCTTCAGAGTGCTTGCTGCCTTGTTGTGAGATGAGTGTTCCACAAGGGTGTCTATAAGCTGAGAATCCACCCCATGCCAAGGCAGGTCAAACCTGGGGAGAAGGTGACGAGAGCTCCATCAGGGATCTGCTTCCGGTGGTCTAATCCGGATGTGCTTCTCGGCTTCTGGAGAATTCAATGGATGATCAATGACCCTGCAGGGTCTGGGGTAAGTCTCAAAAACTTTGAAGCATAGCTACCAGGTGTCCAGTGACAGTCAAGAGGATCTTGTATGTTCCAGTCTCCTACTGCCCACCTCCCATAGGACACCACACCACAAGTAAAACATTTCTGTTAGCAAGGACAGGAAAGGCCAAGTGGTTGATAACGTCCAGAGATGCCTGCTTTATTTCTTACTAAATGATTGTATTTCAGGCTGGTGACATCGATAACAGTCTAATTACCAACTAGTTTTGTACCTCTGAACTACAAATCAACAACCCAATAATTTGGCAAGGAGCAATGGTGTCAACAGCTAACTGGGGGAACTGAGTTTTCCAAATAAATGGTCTTGGTTGTCAGAGTGCTGTAAGTGGATCCAAGGGTAAGGCTTGGGATTGTTTTAAAGACCCTGACACTTCACTGATAGGCTGAAACCCTAGGAGTCCCTAGGCCAAAGCCCTCCATCCCAAATCCTAAGAGCAGAGTAGTTATTTTACTTGTTGAAGTCAGTTCAGCACAAATAAGGGACTGAGCTACGTGGCCCAAGAAAAATGGATTCAGTGGCATACTTGATTGACATGCCCTCTGTTCTCACTCCCACCCTAGGACACAGCTTTTTCTGAAGGTCCTTAGGAAAAAGCTAGACTTCAGGTAATTTCTTCTCTTTTTTTAATTCTGCTTTGAAAAGAAAAGGGAATGACGGGGGTAACCAAAAGTGGGCGTAGGTGCCTCAGGAGAGCTGCAGTGGCCCTAGGACCACTGAGCCGGGCTGAATCGGTTCTGTGCTGGTGACTTGTGCTACTCTATAAACTCAGAGCTGAGTCCATCTTCTTGAGATGTTCACAGGGAAGAATTGATTAACAAAATTTCAGGATAGGAGGGGTGGTTCATATGAGAAGGCAGAAACTTGAAGATCAAGGAAGAAAGTGATAGAAGGAAGGAATGAGAGACTTATCACTTGGTAGGAGCTCAAAAAAGCAGTTACTATATGAATCATTACCATAGCTACTCTTCTTACCAGAAAAGAACACAAGCTTCCTTTGAGATCTGGAACTGACTGACAAGCTGGTGCTTTTCCCTCAGACAAGACAGACTAAGTCACCTAGGAAAGGTTCTAAGCTGAGGCCTACGAGGCCGCGTCCCTTTCCCTGCTCCACCTGCATGCACGTGTTTCACTGAGCTGTCTCAGTGCATGCTGACACCAGAGGCAGAGCCAGAGCACCAATGCAGTATTCCTTTATGTTCGCTCGGCAGGAGAACACCAAGAACTAGTGACTGAGAGTGATGCGGTCCCAGTTCTGGCCAGGTTATGCCAGCCCCATGAATCCCAAGCAGAGTCTCCAAATATTGTGGGTTCTTCTGCTGCTGAGAGGATATGCACCCTAGGGTGCTAACTGAGGAGTTAATGCAGAAAACAAGGCACCACAGAGAGGTTGGATACTTGGGTTGTGTGATTCAGGACACGCTGGAAAAGTCCAAGGGTGGAGGGAAGGAAGGAGAAGAGGAGGAAGAGGAGACTGAGTTTTAAATAACGTCTCATGAGGCCAGAGTCCCACTAGATGGGCTCTGGTTTGAGCTTTTCTGCTAGGAAGTCATTCACAAAGGCCTCCACAATGGCAGGGGTGATCTCTTCCACGTCCATCACGTACTTGGCCCGGGCTGACATGTCCAGAATGGTGAGCAAAGGGGCAGCCTCGGGCAGATTGGTGTAATCTCGCAGGGAGTCAGTCATGTCGTCCTGGAAATCAGCAGAAGACGGAGAGAACCAGTAAGTTTTCAAGGATGAGGGTAGAGTCCCCTGGGCCCAGTTTCTCAGCTGGCTTGCATCCTGAAGACCGGGCCGCCCTCCAGGAAAGATGGGATTTCAGAAAGGGGAGCAGAAAGGAGACCCAGGCCTGACTTGAGGAGTGGGGAGGAGGAGGCTGGTTGGTAAAATTTTCGTTCTGCATAACCCCAAACCACCAGGTAAGTCATCTGTATTAGCATGAAAGCAACTTTGATAAATCCTCTGCTTTGTATAACCGATATCCTTTGATTACTTAAGTTTGCAATCAACTCTCAATTATTTGCAGCCCTGTTGTGAATTATCTGAAGCCAGCCTGGGTTTCAATTCTGGAACGTTTTTAAGCAGAAGCATTTCAGTGGCCTCACTCCCACCCCTACCTGTGGTTTCAGGGGGGCAGGAGCTGCAGTCAGTGAGGAAGATGGGGCTATGGAAAAATTCTAAGTTCACACAGCTTCACAACATTTATCATACATTCCCAAACACTGTCTAGACCAATTTCCCTAATATCAGATGTAGCCTTTTCAAGTATAAAGCAAACATAGAAATTTGAAGACAAGGAGAAAGGATATGTAAGGGAGCAACCATTAGAGATTACCTTTTATGCTGCTGACCCCCCTGTTGGGTAGATAAGAGAAAAATGGAATCTATATAGCCATGCCAAGAATGTCTCACTATAAGATAGTCTCACTGGTTGAAAAGACCTGCAGTTAGTCTCCCTGATGGCGCAGGGGTTAAAGTCTCAGAGCTATGAAGTTGTTGCCAACCACTACGGCCTGAGTTTGATGCCCGGCCAGGGCGGTGACCCACATAGCACAGCAGACCTCTCCTGTCTCACCCGCTGCTCCCCTCAGCAGCGTATTTCAGTAGATCTGCTTGTTCTGCTCCCCACTCTGTCTCTGATGAATTCTTTCACCCCCCCACACCTCTGGCCTACACCCCAGTTCTTGTATGCATAAATAAATGAAAATAAATCTAAAAAAATTAAAAATTAATGAAAAGACCTGCAGAGAAAGGCACGGGGTATGACTGACCTTAAATGCTGGCTCACAGGAGGCATGCAATTTACAACTTACCAGCTTCTGAGAAAAAAACATTCCTTTCTCCAAGGACAAATCTTTGAGAAGATTATTAGTGACCATCTCTTCCCCTCCATACCATCTCTCCTGAACAGCAGGCACTTCCCAGAATTCTGGGTGATTCAACATCCCCGACCCCGTCCACCCAATACAGGTCCTTCATCTGAGTTAGTAAACAATCTTCATAAGTAGAGGGGACACCTGGATAAATGCTGTACCTCTAATTCCCATGAGGAGGCACAGGCCAAGCTAAGTGCCTCTTCCCACCCTGCACACACTCCTTCTGAGCTTTAATGTCTACTGAGGCTTCAGAAGGGATGACTTCTGCTGCTAGAGTGAAAAGGATCAAGGCTGAGGTTCCCCTTAGCCCTGGGTAGACTTGAAATCTACTTGATGTCCAGACCTTGTGCCCACTCCCATTCCATATTGCCTCACTTCTGGGCACAAGGACAGAGACCTGGACCAAGAGAGTTTCCAAGGCCAAGGGCTCAGGTACACAGAAGGAGGGGCAGCCAGGTGGGGAACCAGAGTAGAAAATGACACTGGCTGATCCATCCAACTCCTGATCCAGGCAGCCTTCCCTCAAGCCTGAGGTCCAGTGCCTGGGTGGCTCCATCTGCCAGCCCAAATGGGCAGAAAGAGAGAACACTGCATATGAAGTCCCATTGGCCACACACTCATGGCTCTCTCTGCTACCTATGTGTGACTTTCGTGAATGTGTGACTTTCGTGAGGCATTTCCAGCTCAGGTCTCACTCCCTGTAAAATGGGTTTGATAATGGCTCCTGACACACCAGGTGAGAGACGGCCAGCACACACAGCCCAGCTGGCCAGCCTCCGTGCTGCCTCACATCTGTCTCCTTTCCTCGTCCATGAAAGGGTACTAACTAATTCCATCCTCAGCCAGAGAGGTGAAGAGCAAATGGGATTGTGCAGGTGAAGCACTTGGCTGGGTGCCTGGCATATAGAAAACCTACAAATGCGCCTTTTCAGTCACATTTCTAAAGCAGTTCCTGGCGCTCCAGAACCTGCCCCACCCCCTCCCAGGCTCAGCCCTTTCCATTCCGCACCCCTTTCTCTCAGAGCCAGTGGAAAGGGGTTAGAGTTGAATCAATTCAGAGCTGCCTCCCTGTGTGCTTTGTGTGGAGCAGCTTGCGAGCCCCAAGGCTGGACCCTGTGAACCTGCTTTGTTCGCTCTACCCCGGGGGCTGAGCAGGGTGACTTCAGCTGCCTGTGAGGGGCCCAGTGGGGGGGGGGGGGGGGGGGGGGGGCTAGCAGGGGGAGCTATTGAGAAGTGATGAATGGGTGGTTCAAGGTATCCGGCTGCTCCTGCCTCTCCTGGGATCCACACAGTGTGAAATGAGCATGGGCTCTGACCAAGCGGAGGAGGTACAGACGGGTGGAAGGAGCAAGGGAGGGCAGGAAGCTTCAAAAACTGTGTGGATAACCAGCTTGTGGCAGATACAGGGTGGGTGAGGGAGGCGGAGGAGCATGCACGGAGGATGACACCGGTGGCGGGACCGAGGTAGCGCGCCTGTGTCGACCACGGCCATCTTGCAGAGAGTCCCAAATCTGCAGGGTGGAGGCTGGCTCCTGCCAGAGGGGGCTGGACTGAAGGGCCCAGGTTTTTTACTCTGAAAAGGCTCCTGGGACCAGCCCAGGTGGAGGCCCTTGAGGGACAGGTAAAGAGAGGGATGTCAGCACTCTCCCTGGGAGGGCTGGTTAACTACATGCGGCAGCTGTGGCACCCAGCCCCCTTCCCTGCAGGGGAAAAGCCCACTTTGGAGGTGTGAAGGGACTATGAAGCAGACAGGCCCTTCAAGGGCCTGGTTTGGACCCAGCTTCAGGGCGGTAAGTGTTGATCAAATCTTTGTGGCTGCAGCTTTCCCCAGCAGCCTGGGAAGGAGCTGAGCACCTGGGGTTAAGGCTGGGGGTAGAGGGGTTCCTGGGAGGACTGCTTACTGCTGCGAGGCTGCTGAGTGAGGAAGATAGGCAGAAGGAAGCAGCAGGGGCAGACAATGGGGTTTCCATGACTGGTGATATACCTTTCTTGCCACATTTGTGTGCAGGCTCTTCCAGAAGTATAGTCACCCCAAACCCTGGGCCCTTTCAAAATATTCCCTAAGGGCCCATCTCATGTCCCAGGAGGCAGCCAGCTGAGCCAATACCCATGGCAATACTCACCTCCCCTGCCACAAAGAATAAAAGTGGTGCCTCCTCCTCTTTGGCTTTGTACTTGGCAATTATCTTCTCAGCTATTGGCTGGATTAGCTGCTTGGCGGCCTCGGACTCCCCATCATCCTCAGAATCTGTGATCGGGGAGAGAAAGATTCAGAGAGCACTGGCTTGTCACCGTGGCATCCTCTGAGGGACCCTGGGACCAGGGCCTAAAATGCTCATCTGGACAGCTCCTTAATGGAAAGAGTATCCCCTGGTGGGACACAGGCCTCGCCTCCTGGGTGCCTGAGGAGGAGCGTACAGTGTGCACACACATGCTTGCACTGTGTGGCTCGCTTCTGCGCCACGCTCCCCAGGAACAGCCTCACTAAACAGCACTGATGCCACAGGCAGAATGGCCCTTTTCATTGAATTCTTCACAAGCTGAGCTTCCCCTAAGCCAGGACCTGAGATTGCCAGTTTCAATCACAGCATGAGATGCCACGACCTCAGACGGATGGCTTCCTAGTGAAAATGGCAGAACTGGTGGCAGTGGGGAGGCTCAGGGCTGCTGGAAACCAAACTGACAGTTGGACTTGCCTAGGAGGGGATGACTATTGCAGGGCAGGGTTGGTGGGGGTGGGGGTGGAGGGGAGTTGGGTGCACAGATAGTCCACCAGGTGACCAGGCTCCTGAGAACCCCCTCAGGCATCTTTTACCCCAGTGCAACAGGACCCCAGTGCTCACTCCTGCTGCAACTATCACCAAGAACAAGAGCAACATCCCTCAGTGGTAAATCAGGGGAGGAGAGAGCAGGTGCAGTAGGGAGCTTGCACCCAGAAATGCCACTGCCAAGAGGCCCACAGCATGCAGACGTGGGACACATTCATCTAAGAGCTGTGTGATGCTGGGAACCCTCTGGGACCCTGTTTCTATATCTGCATATGGCCAGTGAGGTTCCCAACTATCCCTTGGTTCAGAATTGTTCCCTAGTAGGCTCAGAGTATGGCTGTGTAGGCCTGCAGCAGGCAGGGAGGCCCCAAGGTGAATGAGCTCCCAAGGTCATCTCTCCCCAAGTGACCTCTGTCCTCTAAACACGGGACCAACCTATGGACCTGCTTACATAAGAATTTCCTTGTGTCTGCCTATTGGTTCTCCTGGAGTGGTGGGGGATGAAAGGGCAAATGAGACTTCCAGTGAACAGGGGTAGGATGTTGCAAACAACCCCACCCTCCTCAGTGAAATGGACATGGCAGCATCTCGGTCATGATCCTCATATCCAAAGTCATTTTGAGTGGGAGGAAAGAAACACATCCTAAAGCAGAGGGTGAAGTGGCCTTGGGCAGCAGTTGCTCCATTTGCAGAAGGAACGAGGCTCATCCCACAGGGCTTGAGGGAACCTGGGGTAGGAGCTCCTGTGTCCTGTCCAGCCAACCACAGTCACCAGAGTGCCAGTGTGACAAAGACTGAGGGCACCAGGTCACAGAGATGTCATCCTGCAGCTGGGAATTGGCAGACCTGCCCCCGGGGCAGTTGAACAGAGCACAGGTGATGAGAACAGCAGGGTAAGGCTCCACTGAGGGGGCCCAGTCCCAGCAGCTGCGGTGCAGGCCCGCCTCCTCCAACAAAGGGCCTGTTCATCAGGGGGACAGAGGGCATCCTTGGGCCTGACCTATTCTTCCCAGCTGGCAGTTGGGAGCAGCAAGGAAGGAAAGCACAG